TACAAGATTACTGTGGAGGTTCTCAGCTTGTGCGACAGAAGGGTCGATGGATTTGGTGGCTTTACTGCAATTTCGACGACAGGAGAAGATGTGATTGATGGACTCTGTAGATCCCATGGAACTCGAATTTTAAGAGAAGAACCAATTAGAGTCCGCGGACTCGAGCTATATCAGTGCGATGCTGATGTTCAGATTACTATAAGAGTATTGCGGTTTAGTGCGACTTGTGTGTCTTAAGTTGAGATGAAATCTGATCAGCAGGCTTTCGCGACGATGATTTACTGGACTCGATGGACGCCATAACTTTAGATACGACAGTGGCAGATATGGATTCCAAGGAGCCTAATCGACTTCTGTAACAAAAAGGCAGATGAATTGCTTCGAAGCAACTTCACTGGAAAGGCGAAGATGGGTTTTATCGAATTTCAAACGAACACGATAGTAGAGCTCAGCAGACGCGAAGATAAGTTTTATCGACCTTGGCCAGTTTAATCCCGTCTTGTTGCGACAAATATGAAGAGTGCGCCAAGCGACTGAATGAGAAATAGGGAGAAACTAGCTTAAATTGGATGCTCAAATGCGACAACAAACAAAAGAAGAAAGTAAGACGAGCATGAACAGGACTGCCCGATAATGCCCTTAATTTAGCAGGGCCTAGACACTGCGCGATGGTCCCGAGCGATGAACGGTACATTGTGGGACACTGGACATTGACCGCTTCCAAGATTTGGGAAGAAAAACGTTGCAGCCGCTTGAAGGAAACGAAATCTGACATTTGATTGCACATAGTTCAGGGCACATACCATATTATGTTCGGTTTATCTTGGAGTGCCCCTTAGAAGAGAATCGAAAACTATACCAACTTCAGTCAATTTCGGCATACCTCACATCGATGATGAACTTCTCATTCAGCTCCGGGTGATGAAAGGGATTCGATACTTAGTCAGTAATCTTAAAGAAATCGGCTAAATTTTAACAAGTCACCATATCCATTTACATTCATGCGAAGGGTGCGGAGAGGAAAGATATTAATCGAAATCAAACACCGAATCGAGAATGATTAATCGAGAGATACCCTCGGACAGTGGCCGACCAACTACGGGGACCCTACGGAATACACCATGAAGTTTAGATTGATGAATGGGATCGATGAGCCACACTAGTTGGGTGTTGAAGGAAAAGAGTGGTGGAAGTCAATAGATGCCATGGAAAGAGTCTTTAAGGCACACTACTTGATGAGGAAACACGACTCTGGACTTACCATTCGTTTGCCTGGAGAAATTCTGTGAAGGGCGAAAGAGGAAGAAGCAAAACGATATATGAAAGAAGTAGCGGGTGCAGGAAAAGATGAGGGGCAAGTGAACGGCAAAGAATGCGAGGAGAATAAAGGGGTTGGCAGTCTACTCGAAGAAGATACAAGGTTTAAGCCCGAAACCAGCAAAGCCATTAACGCCTCTGAAAAAAGTTGACGGGAACACGAGCATTTCGAGCGATCGGACTGTACTAGTAATTGAGCGGGTTGGGTTCACTCATAAACAAGCTGCCAGAATACAATCCCTAGCGGGGCCTCAAAAGTTGATACATAGAGAAGGGAAGCTTCCTAGTCATCAGAAGAATTGGAACATGTGAGTTATGAATGGTCCATACTGATTCATCTGAGTTCCAGGGCGGACTGTTTAAGCTACACGGTCCATGATTCTGGGATATCTCAAGCAACCCAATCAAAAAAAAATATAGAAGACACCGGGCGACCTGTGCGAACCAAGCACACTATGAATTGAGCAAACCTTGCTATCTATTTTCGAATGATAGAATGTTAGTATAAGGAGATGATTTGTCCGGAAGAGCGCTGCCCACAAATCCGAGACGCCAATTTTTGGCTTGGAGTAAGGGCTCAAGATGGATTGAAGACAGGAATATTCCAACTACAACATATGAAGAAAAGCTCTTTGGCGCACCAGAAAGAAAATTTCCCAAACCATATGCTCAATCCTCGAGAAAGCCGGCAGGTCTGTTTTTTCAGCATCTAAGACATGATAGAGGTGTAGAACCGATTCTCCTTTTCTGGTTTAAGAGTCGGTTTTTGAGACAGCAGGTATGCTGAGAATACTTGATACAATGGGCTTTTTCTACGCTGTATTAGATCAGGCATGAGTCCATCCAAAACTTCACACTCTCGGCTAAATTTTGATGCTCTCACAATTGCTGATCTACTTTGATATGCGTAAGTACCTAGCAAACGCTTTTTGTGATATATACCTGCTTTCCCTCATAAAGATTTGATTCTGTTGCATTGCTGAAACACAAAATATACCACATTGACACGAATTAATATAGCCTCTGCACCTCACTACAATTGAGATCGGAGAAATCTGAGGCTGGGAGAGTGTGAGCTGATTTCAGGAAGTGAATAGAAAATGTCAGACTCAGACTGTTGTCCATTGATATATAGTTGCTTCAAACCTACTCGAATCCTTTTTCCAAATTATCTTAACCCCTTTCAACAGAGAAATCATAAATCAGTTTCAAAACGTAAAAGCTTATAGGCTCACCTCCCGAGTTAGTTTCTCCCCCAAAATTATGGACACAGCTTCAAAGACTATCACTTACTTTGTAAAATAGTGGCAGAGATGGCATGCTTCTCAGAAGAAGATGTGATGATATCAACATTATCGATCTTCTCTTTACATATCCCTGACCCAGAAGGGAAAATCATACCTCAGATCCTTGACCCTATAAAGGCCGACAAGCTTGACACATTTCACTGTTTTCCATCTCTGATCAAGGAGTTGCAAATCAAAATATGGAAATTCGCTTTTCCTCCTCCACGAAGAGTCGAAGTACGACCTAATCGTTTTTGTCGCCAAAAGGAGCCTCACTGCCCTTCGTGTAAATGTAGGGCCAAACACACGGCTCCTTTGCCTATAACACTGCATGTCAACCAGCAAAGTCGAGAGGAGACACTCAGGCACTATCGACTTGTTTGGATGACGCCAGAAACACAAGGCACTTTCAACAGCAAAGTAAAACCTCTTTGCTTCGATCCATCGCGGGACTTTTTGTACACAGACATTTTCGACATGCTGTGCTGTACTCGTTCTGATTGGATGGTCCCATTACTCGCCAATCGATTCCTAGGGAGAGATTGCTTCAAAGATGTAAGAGTCTTGGAGGTTCGCTCTTGGGAATGGCACGATAGGATTGGCGAATCTCTACAAACACCATATTTTGTTGCATTAGAAGTCTTCACACAACTTGAGGAAATAAGTCTCATGCTACATCATCCATCGCAATACCTTCCAAAGTTCTGTGCAGATTGTAGAAGCAGGCATCGAGGGAGGCCGTGGACTAAATCTATGGAAAGGAAAAGCATAGATGCGATGACCGCATTTTTTCAGCGCATTCATGATGATACCGCTGTCGGTGAACAACTCGCTGAGTGGGGAGTACAGTCACATACTAAACATGAGATTGCGGAAGTCAAGATTCCTAAAGTTGTTGTTGTTCCATGGACTAGACGGTGTTAAGTGGGCTTTGCGCTAGTCGAAAGTTAGGTGCACTTCTGGCTCCTCTTCGTGGGGGGTTACATAAGTGATACGGAACTGAGGATTGAGATTGTGCTTAGCGGGTTAGATAGTGAGATGACTCTATAGCAGAATAACGTTGATTTTTAAAACATCTCTTTACATGTGCAGATGCTTTGCCGTTGAGGTTTTAATTTTTTTTTTACCAATATCAAGAGACCTTTCGTATTTTCTTGGCAATGTTTTCCCAGGCTTCCCCTTCCCTTACTCTTCCTGCTCCGCCATGCACCCCAAATACTCGTACAGCCTTTGGCATCCACCATTTTCTCGTGGCGTTAATTTTTCTCGTATCTCGAGAGAAATTCACAACGCCAAATCTTTGCTTTACAGCTTTCAATTCGGAGATTTCGAGCCTAGTTACCCTTGGTTTCCCTACAAAGTTCATCGTAGTGATATCGACCTGTGCATCTTTTGGTGGGTTCTTTGAGTATCTCATCAATAGATCGCGTGAATTGCGAGCAAAATTGGGCAATCTGAGATGGATGTAATTGACAAATGGTGATGTTATGTATGCCACGAACACCACCGGAACAGCTCCAGATAGTAGAACTTGGAATTATATTAGTTTCTGAAAGTAAAAAGAAGACTTCGGTAATTTTTGATGTCATTGCACTCAAATTCCGCAAGATTCGAAAGCTTAGCATCAACTTACCAGCAGGTGCCACCCATTCAGGTTCATCCTCCGCATAGTAATGTGCGGGCGCTACAACTAGAGTAAAAAATACAAATATGAAAATAGTTGTAACTTTCAAGCAGCCGAGGAACACTGTTCTTCCAGTCCCAGAATGATAGATAAGCAGACGTTCGGGATAGGCTATTTAGAATTAGTTTGAATGATACAAAGGGGCAGATGTACTGACCGGGCCTTTTGCTTGCATATTGCGGTGTTGGTACAGGTTGTGGTGTTGCTGCTCGTGGTATTTTATTCTTCGCAATTTGACTAGCGTGTCTGAAACTACCTGCTCTAAAACATGATAAGGGTCTTTGGCTAGCCAGCCCCCTGGGCGCCGCTAATCGTGCGAGCAATATTATCATTGCTTTTGATCACGGGTATGGCGAGGGGAAAGAGTGTCTTTTAGTAGGTTTGGGAACTAATTATTAATCAATCATTATTCTGCTTGTGGCCGGATGGCTGATCCAATTTCGAATCGAATCTCAATATCTGACAGCTGTGTAATATTTCAAATATTGTTTAGATGGATACAGCATAGAAATAAATTTGATACAATAGTCAAGCGCGTTTGACGCGACGGGCCGCGACATTTAGCCGCGGTTACATATCTCGGTATCATTGTAACAGATTACCGTTAGACTTTAGGAACGAATAGTGTCTGCTCACACAACATTTAGGGAAGTATGATATTGCGGAGATATTGCAGATAAATACAAGAGGCGCTCGCCTTCTCACTCGGTATAATGATTTCGCAATACATCGCAACAGTCGCTATCTTGATTTGCAGCATCTTGAGTATTAACGTCACGGCATACACTCCCTTATCCGATGAGACATTTCGTAGTCTCCCATCTGCAGGCGCAGATTTTGATATACATAATGGAGCCATTCTTTCACCGATTTTGATCCCTAGAGTCCCAGGAACCCCAGGAATTCAAACTGTTCAAAGACACTTCGTTGATTTCTTTACAACGCATCTTCCAGAATGGACAATTGAATTCCAAAACTCGACTTCGAAGACTCCCGTCACCGGCGACAAACAAGTGCCATTTGTTAATATCATTATAACTCGCGATCCTCCTTGGGCGAAATCTGGAGATGTAGGAAGATTGGCCTTGGTGGCACACTACGATAGCAAACTCACCCCTACGGGATTTATTGGCGCAACTGACAGCGCAGCTCCTTGTGCGATGATTATGCATGCAGCTAGAAGTGTGGATCAGGCATTAAAGAATAAATGGGAAGCGATGAAAACGGCAGGTGATATTGGTTTGGAAGAAGAAAAGGGTGTTCAAATACTGTTCCTCGACGGCGAAGAAGCATTCCTGAGCTGGACTAATGATGATTCTCTTTATGGCGCAAGGTGAGATATTTTCCAATCCGTACAATTCTTATTCTAACCCATTCAGAGCATTGGCGGAAACATGGGAAGCGACGGCGCATGCAGCTATGTCGAATTACAAAAATCCATTAGACTCGATTAGCTTGTTTCTTCTTCTTGATCTTCTTGGGCACGAAAATCCAAGCATTCCTTCATATTTCGAAACTACACATTGGGCATACAAAAGTCTTGCTACCATTGAAAATCGTTTACGATGGCTTGGGATAGCTCAAACAAAAGTCGAACACCATTTCCTTCCTGATGTCGGTCGGACTACCTTTTCTGGTTTCGGTGGTGTACAAGATGATCATATACCTTTCATGGCCCGTGGTGTGGAAATTTTACACATGATACCCAACCCATTTCCGAGCGTTTGGCATCATATTGAGGATGACGGGGAGCATTTAGACATGCGTACAGTAGAGGATTGGGCTAAAATAGTAACAGCATTTGTTGCTGAATGGATGGATCTGGAAGGACATTTTCCATCGAAAGCACAAGCGGAAGCAAAGAAGGCAAAGAGAGACACCACTTCTGATAGAAAGACGGAACTGTGAGTTGTTCATGGTCATTTTGTAGCTTCCAAAACTCGTATTAATTTTGTAGTAGTAATGAGACTTAGGGATGCCAACTGGATACATCGTTTCAGTCTAAATGATGACTGCTTACTTCGAGCGGATTTGCTTGCTACTCCTGTCTCCTTGTGCAGCGGAAAAGTGATTTTAATTAAGACTTACAAAAGCTTCATGACATCGAAATTATGTTTTTGCTCAACACACAGAATGATACTCATGAGCTTGACACTGTTAGATCCATCCTATTTTACTGACCATAACCAAAATGGAACAGGTAGGTAGGACTTCTCTGGTTGTTGTTGCCTTCATCGCCCCGTGTAATTACTGAATTTACTCATCTACTTAACGATATTTTCGAGCCTTTTGTATCATGCCCATCCTGAGTAACTCTCGCTGAAATCAAACTATCATGGAACTATAACTGGATGCAAATTCTTTATTTCCGCAGTCAGTGCCGTATTTCTCTCAGAGGTATCAATCAGTCTTTGACTAAAATGAGTCAATCAATCCCAAAATCAGCACATACAAGCCTCGAATCAGATCAATTTTTGAATTTCTAGACTTTGTCAAGTAGGCGAGTCGCTTCGTTACTGGTTACCAGAAATCTGCCCACAAAGAACCATCAAAATTTAGAATTCTAACGCTGCTCGATGAAGCTACAGAGTAGTATCACGAGTGGCATGAGAAACTAACTTGAGCTTAGGGCCGGCAAAAATAACCCTGGACCAGACAACATTTACGATATGGTATATGAGGCTGCTTGATGTTAATGTCTTAATGTGACATTAAAAATAGGCGATTAATGCAAGCGACTAAGGATTTCGCACCTCTCTTTAGTAACTTCTTGCGCACCCTCGACTTTGATAACCGATCTACACCATCGCCCACCTCAAAGTATCAGGGTACACTTCACTCTCGAGGTAGTCCCATCGGGTTAGTATGCTTTACCTCATAGTTTTCATCATGGTCCAAACTTGTAGGCTACTCTTGAGTATTGAGGCATAAAGGAGGAAGTCACAAGGGGAAAAATCGCAGTACTGACAAGAATCGATGATGTCAAAACTATTATCCAGATGAATATAAGGGAAGAGATATTGGCAGAAGTACCGAGAGATAGTTCAGATGGAATTGAGCTAAATTACGCAAGTTTCTTTTCAGATCTTGAGGGGTGAATTCGAGGGTGGAATTACGTTTCGGATTAGCGCCCGCCGAGGCTGTAGCTCAGGTGCTTGGAATCATGTGTTTTTCTGACGCATAGAATGGGATGATGGCAATGCTGCTGTGTACGTTCGGAGTCGGGCACGGTTTTGCCATTCAGTCAAAATAGTTCAATGTTAGGCGTTGGACGGTGGATGTGATCTACGCTGATTTAGCCTGGACCTCTCGGGTCTTGAAGTTCACCGATTTCGATCTTTTGCAGCAGAACAGAATTTGTATCTCATCCATTAATTATAGTTTTCAATACGCGGCTCACTCACAAGCATACCCAACGTATAATTATAGGTCCAGGATGAAGAATATATATATAAGCTAAGTATGGCCTCAAAGAAATGACTGTTCCTACCTGGGATCAGTACCGAAAAGCTGTATTCAGCAGCAAGAAAATAATCCATGACATGAATGCCTGTCAAAATATGTACAACAAATTGTCAACACCCAAAAACACGAACTACCACTTATCCCGACGCACCGGAAGTACAGGTCAGGCCCGTTGATTTATCAACATTGGCGCACAGAAAAGTGGCAGAGCCAGATGCTGGAGCAACCGACCAAGAGGAGAAATAGATGTTACATGTTCCGCCCGCTGGACAGTTCAGGTTCGCTACATCTGGAGAATATTTTGAGCTTGTCGTTCCTTTGAAATTTGTGAAATATACGTCTGTAACTGAGGCAGTGCTGGGACTGCTGGCACAATAAGTTGCATCTTCGTTGTAGCAACTTTGGATCTGAGCCGCCCAATCGCTATTTTCCACTGTAACATCATTGAAGGTTACGTTACTGACGATGGCTGATCCGTGCGAGCTTCCTCCGGGGTACAATTTGATGCCAACGGCTTTGGTAGAATTGACCATCGTTGCGCCAGTGACGTATATGTTTGTTACTGAATCGGTTGTGCCTGCTTTGTTTCCAAGAGAACCAACAGAGAGTCCATGTGATCCAGTACAAGTAATAGTATCCACAGTTGTATAGTTTGCTCCGGGCTTGAAAGCTACGCAATCATCTTGATTTGTAACTTTGATGTTGTTTAATGTAACAAATGTCGAGTCACCAACGTCGAATCCGTCCGTATTCTTTGGGGCCGTTGTCGATTTTGAAGCTGCTGTCATTGTTAAGTCAGAATATGCGACGTTTTTCGAACCTCCAGTAACACTGAAGAAAACGTTGGGTGGATTCTTGACCTTGAGATTCTTGATGGCGATATTGGAAGATGCCCCGGTTATATAGTGCAACGTTGGGCGAGCGTATGAAGAGTTAATAGCGAAGTAATCGTATGCTGCTTGCCCATTTCCATCTATCACACCCGTTCCAGTGACAGATTGGATAGTTGCTTTGTTGATGCCATCCATATAGAATATAGCTCGTTTCCCATCCCAAAAGTCTAAATCGTCCGAGACTTTGAGTGTACCTTCGATATTCAGGGTGCATCCAGCACATCCCGTGAAGTCGACCACACTATTTATTGCATACTGTACGCCGGCCGGGATCTGAATGACTCCTCCGCTTCCGCATGATGAGATGGCGGCAGCAATGGCTGGAACGTCATCGGTTCCGGAATTTCCAGCAGAAGCAGGAGTGCAAGTCGCACGTTTGGCAAGACTGACACCGTTCGCTTCATTTCTCACTGCAGTTGGTGATGCATAGGCTGACGAGAAGACCGATGTTGCTAAAGCCAAAAATTCAAATTTGTGATGCATGATTGCAGATGTAGTGGTTGAGATCGAGCAACAAGTTCGAAGAGCACAAATTTATATTCGCGGCTGGCTGTCTTGGATGGCTCGACGGGCTTTTCTTGTTCACTTAAATGAATCAATCTATGTGGATCATTTGCTTAATGAGTACAAAACGACCTTCTCGAAGAAGGAGGAAGGAACTTAAAAGGTATTGTCCATTCCTGGAGTATTTCCACGTATAGGCATCGTATTCCCATTACAATGTGGGAAAGGATCAGCCCCACAAGTTTGTTTCGAGGCGTTTAAATCTATCTGTTTCATACCCTATCATTACGTTCCTGCGATACGGAGGTTTAAAAATGCTTTTGACCTCCGCACGATCCGCGAAAACGTTGCGTGAATTATATGGTCATGGATTGAGCCTGAATACAGGATCATCATGTGGCATGTGCGTGGTCACTATCGCCCCCTTAATATACCGAGAGCGACATGTTCTTACCTTCAGATTTAAATGAAGTACCGAAGTGTGGATTTTCGAAATGTTCCGTTACCACGCATGCGGAAAAATGGGGATTGATTCCCCGCAAAATAAGCTCGTATGTGTTGTTTCCGTACCATTCCCTGCGAATACCAGCAGATGTATCCATTTACAGTATTTTGCCTTAGGGAATCAGAGAAGTAGATTCGAAATCTCAATTGGAGCGGGTGAGGAATTGAACGAGCTTCATTCCTTCGCTAGATTTAGGAAAATTAGATTATGTATAAATACTGTTACTCTACAATTTAGAACACGCTCCTCAATTGACATCAACCAACTTCACCGTTTGCTGTTGAGGTCTACCTTTGAAACTATGGCAGCTTCTAAATACATTCCTAGTTTTTTACTTGCCATTCTCTTATTTGTTGGTTCCATAGATGCATCGGCAGTACTGCACAAAAGAGCCAGCCGAACTAGCCCACCGTCTGGATGCCTAACAGTGAGAGGGAGCGGTACTCTTTCCGGCGAATATAGCACAGTTGGTGCTGCATTGACTGCGCTTGGGTCGTCGACTGCAGTGGCATGCATTTTCATATACAGTGGAACATACAACGAGCAGTTGACGATCAGCTACGGAGGAAACCTCACTGTCTATGGATATACCACAAAGTAGAAGCCCTTTGACAATTTTGGGGGACAAGCAACTAACTTGTGCCAGCACTGGAACATACAAAAGTAACACAGTAACAATTACGCATGGCATTAACTCCACAACTATTGGTCTCGATGCTAGCTCTACAGCAAATATCAGAAGCGCCAATTTCAAGGCCTATAATGTCAACTTTGCGAATACCTATGGAGCAGGAGTTCAGGTTCGCTATTTTCTCAACCTAAACTTTGTAGCAGTGAGAAATTGACTGACTAATATGACTCTTTCTAGGCCGTTGCTGTAACTGCCAATGGAGACCAGCAAGGATATTATGGATGCTCATTTACGGGCTACCAAGATACTTTATATGCAAAAGCTGGCAAGCAATATTACTCGAATTGTTATATTGAAGGTAGGTCTTTGAATGACCGGAAGAATACAAATGGAAATCGCTGACCACAAAAGGGGCTGTGGATTATATATTTGGAAATGCTGCTGCTTGGTTTGGTGAATGTATGTTATCTCGGACAATGCGACAACCTAATAGATGCCAGCCAAATGTTCTAACCCATTTCCAGGTACAATTGCTTCGAACGGAGGTGGTGCAATCACCGCAAACTCCAGGACACTTGCCACTGATTCTGGTTGGTATATTATTGACAGCAGTACCGTAAGATATCCCACCCCACTTCTCGAACAAATCTCTAAACTTTTGTAGATCACCCAAGCAGACGGGTTCAGTCTGACAGGAAAGGTCTATCTCGGCCGACCATGGCGAGCGCTTGCTCGTGTGATCTTCCAGAACTCTGTATTGACAGACGTTGTTAATGCCGCGGGGTGGACTACACTTGCCGCTAATGCTGCACCGTACGTTTCACTCCCTATTTTTGTTTGATGAAAAAGTGTTGACATTAGTTAGAATATTCATGGAATATGCCAATACCGGAGCTGGCTCAAGCACATCGGCGAGGGTTTATGTGAGTAAAATAGACATGTGAACGAATTAGAGAAAACATACTTACTATTGATCTAGGAAACGACTGCTACTGGAACAGTCAGCAAGACCACATTGTGGGGAAGTAATTGGGCTTCTTGGATCGATTCTTCATATTAAGTTGAAGTCTTGAGAAATTAGGTAGGAATATTTGTAATCAAATAGATTTATCTCCACGGCTTGATCTGAATAACTTATCAAATATTGCAGTTCGTGATTATAAGACACTTATTACCTGGTTCCTTTGCAATCACTTCTCCAATTGACACACAACAACAACCATATCCATAGAAATGCTGACCCCTTTTCTCGTCTCCAACACAGCTTTATTAAACGCCAGTCTATATGCTGCTCTTTCTCCTAGTGCTCTCTCCGACACGATATATCCTAAATCTTCAAGTCCCATTAAAAAATTATCTGTTGACATTTGTCTCAAAATATCGTTACACGGAAGGCGGAAACTGTCGACGAGTTTTAACCCTTGTTGATTACATACATATCTCTGCCAGGTTGGAGACCCATCTGATAATGAGAGGGGTTTGGTTAGTCATTTCTCTGTCTAACGTGGGGGTTGATAGGATCAGCAACTCACCCAAAATCTAGATCACTCTTGCAAATGTCTTGAAACCTGTCTATAACTAGTTCCATATCCACTTTGGGTGTGAATTCATTAGGGGAATGGGCACTGAAAGATGCAGAGTCCATCTCATCCCATTGAAGATATCCTCCTGGCTCTGAAGTTTCATCCATGGATTGGCTTCTAATCTTCTCATCCATCTTCTCGAAGTATGATATGATTTAATTACTCTGCATAGCAATGAGATTGTCTAGCAGAACTCCAGGATGGCCCCCTTTTACGACAATTATGAAAGCCCTAATATGAACAACATCAAAATTTCCCTTCAAGTACTCTGGTAACGTTTCGAAAGCATCAAGAATCTCAAGCTTCATGTTCGAGAGGAGATATTCTTTTGCTGGAAAAAGCTCCTTGGATATGTCGAAACCATGAAGCTGCAAATTGGGAGAGACTATCTGTGATAATTCCAGCAGCCAATCTCTGCATTGATAAAGTTCAGTTTAGTGTTGGTATCCAATTGACTTGTTGACGAAATACTTACGCACTGCCAATTCCTACATCAGCAATGGAGAACTTATCCTCTTTTTGGGGAGCCTTCGGCACGAGAATTGATGGATGAGGTAGCCATCCTAAGCGTATGTTCCACAGCAGATGTTGAATATGAAGTTTATCCAAATCAGTAAAAAGCCTGCAACTACCTCCGATTAGATCTGGGGAGCAGCTACCGTGCCGAATCTCGAAATCCTCGACTGAACATATAATCCTCCGAACTATGTTCTCACCCATCGTGATATTGGAAGTTATGCTGATGATTAGAGTAGTATACTTTAATGGGGGCTTTCTAATGAAATTTTGTCTGTTCTGGTTGAGCCAAAGAGGTTGGAGGCTTCCACACTGCAAAAATATACTTTTAATTGCGCTATCTTATCAACTAATACTTCCTTTGCTTTTGGTGGGGGATCTCGAGTAACGCGTCTTGGAAAATGAGCTTACAGCTATGGAGCCCCGCGGTTATGCTAGTTTTGAGACTGAGCTCCAATCGGTGACTGTCCACTCATGTACTAGCTAGTTCTGTTTGTTTAATTATGTGATGCTTGACTTTGTCAACGAGTGGAAGCTTCCATTCTACCAGGGGATGATCGGAAATAACACGCTATTGAGTATAGATACTGGCTTTTCTGGTAGACCTTCTTAAGGAAGATACGGTTACACGAGAAAGAATCCGGACGTGCATGGAATTTGGTCAAGGGCCCCAGAGGGTGAACACATTGAAGACGAAAGATCCTTGACGAATGTTGTGAATGCTTGATATTGACTGGTTCCACAGCATTACAAGGGGGGTCTTCAACAGTTGGAATTTACGGGCTCATTTCGATGTAATGAAGTGACTGAAATTGATCTAACAATAAGGGCCCGGCAAGCACAGAAGGTAAGATGAAAGGAACATAATTTAATGCAGAATCGCGGTCTTGGTCCCGTGGTACATTCTTATCCTCTGTTGCATATTGTTAGAGTGTGTTATCTGTGAATCATTATCTGTCCCCTGGAATACATCCTTGCAACATAGGAATAGAACAGATATAAATCAAATTGATAGAATAGAGCTACATCCCCATTTATAAGGTGTGGACACTTTGGCAGATACAGAAGGAGAGATACTTCCCCTCTTCCTTGAATCCATATTACCCAGCTATACTCCATGAAGCTTGTACCAGCTTTAAGTGACCTGATCACTATCGGACTTCATTGATCCTGGAGATTTCCCACTTGCAGGGACTTGGGGGCGCGGATTAGTCTTCAGGCAAGAATCACATCCATGCTTGTATTGTCCATTACTTTTAGGGCTGTGCCGCATGGCATCTACCACTTTGATGTTGCCAACTATCTTGAATCTCAACCTTACTTAACCGGAAATATACTCATATGCGTGTACTTAGCCGACGATATTTGCACATTTTCCTTCACTCTCAATAGAAAGTCATGAACGCTTGAGATGAGAATCTTACGTCCTTCCCGTGTTTTCGGAAAACCCGTTGACGACAATTCCTGGTTTCCTGAATTTCCATACACGTTTCCCACCTTCAGATCAAAGCAGGCTAAACACCGAATATGATGCTAGCAATTTTTTTTTAAATTGGACCCAGAGGATCGGTATCAAACCCTCGCATGGTAATCCTTGCAGTTTCTTGATTGGCTACCTTGATATCGCATCTCATCGTACCAGTCATTGTTTTGTAAATCCTGTTGTTTTGGAACTGCGACTTGCTCAAAAGCGATGTGCGGATTTGTACCCAGCTGCTTACCTTTGTAATATTTGTTGAAATAATCTCGCATAGAGAGTCCTTTGGTAACTTTCACTCCTAATGAGGGGCAGTGCCCTAATCATTGGTATTCTCTCTTGGTCAAAGTGATGACTTTGATCCGCGGACGGAAAACAATGATCCTGGTGTAACCCACACTTCGCGGTAGATTCTTCCACAGTGAAATACATTATACTACACCAAACACCAACATGAATCTCTTTGGGCGGCAAGCGATTGAAGGTGCTCTTCCTTCACCATCTGGAGTGACTCCAAATTTTGTCAACCCACCCAGCATTGCTAAATATAATGTTCTTTGTCAGGCAGTCTGTGTACCGGTTGTCACTGTATTCGTACTCATACGATTGCATACGAGAGTCTTTATACATCGAAAAACAACGGGGGATGACTGTAAGCTTTACAATCTTGAATGTCGAGAAACTTACTGATGTGAGAAGATGCTTGCATAGTGGCTTGGGTAATTTTTCTCAGCGAAACATTTGATGAAGCTTTGAACGGCTGACTGGACATGCAGGTTGGCACCCTTGTATATTCTGGAATGGCCTTATCTTGCAAGTTCTCAAGAAGAAGATACATACATAAACAACTCTAATACACGATAGTGAACCAGTATGGCGCTGGGGTCCATCAATGGGATGTTCCAGCTACAGATATCAAAATGTTTGGAAAGGTGAGTTGAAGGAATATACGAGGTAAAGCTGTATTGACATCGCATGCAAAGTTAGTTTATGTAACTCAGATGTTATGCGGGCCGCAGGTCTTTGCGGCCAAGGTCGCAATTCTACTTCTCTTGTCTCGCATCTTTGGTGTCAGCAATAAGATTTTGTGGGCGATACGAGCGCTCATCGGCTTGATGGCACTATACTATGTTCCTGCTACAGCAGCAAAGATATTCATATGCTGGCCGGTCGCCCATTTCTGGGATCCTCTAGCTAGAAAAGGCACTTGTCTTAACGAGAATTCGATATTCCTTGCGGATTGTGCCATGAGTATTGTCAGTGATTTTACGATTTTGTTCCTACCAATACCAGTAATTTGGGGATTGAAAACTCGCACAATGCGGAAGATTGGGGTCTCGATCGTGTTTGGAGCCGGCCTTTTGTATGTATCTTCCGCAAATAGAAATGTAGTCTAATAACTTTCAACAGAGCCTGTACCGCAAGTGTTCTGCGTCTTTATGAAACGCTACATCTTGGCGGTACTATGGACAAGACTTATAGCCTAGTACCTATACTCCTCTGGAGGCAAGTGAAACTCCTTTTAAATCATTTCAGAGTATTGACTTACATACATACATAGTATTGCTGAGGTGAACATTGGCATCATCTGCGGCTGTTTACCATTTCTCCCATCCTTCATTAAGATGACCTTCTTCAAATCTCCAAGCCCGAACGATTCCACGGAAAACAGTAGTTATTACCGTCTGGAACGAATATCAAAACCAAAGCGCAACGTTTATGATTCTATATTGCGAACACAAACGAGAGTGGACGATTCGGATGAGAGGTTAAATGTGGATCAATCTACACTTGCACAAGTCAATCAAGCCAATAAGATAGGGAAAGGGGCTGGGATAATGGAGGCGATAGAAATCGATCAAATTGGTTGATAAGTTGACAGTAGTTTTTGAATTAAATATGTAGTAGTGTTCCTGACCAGTATGCTTGTTGCTGGTCTTTGGCTCTTCTCCCTATGATTTTATTTTTAGCCAGCGGTATTGAAAGGTTTGAGTTCTTCGTCTTGGCTTTTCTGGCTGGTTTCTGCGTTGGTAGCTGGAAAGCTTACATAGCTTTCGTCAAGGTTATGTTGCATCCCCGCATGACCGACAAATATACATTTATATGATTGTAGAGATCATAAGTTCGGGGGCGGTTCGTTGACCTTCATACGATGAAATGGCCAATTTCCATCTTGAGATCCAATCCTTCCGCGTTTCGCAAGGTCTATGAATCTTCCATCCTCTCATCCATCAATTTCATCATTTCATCCTCTTCGTCGATCTTCTTGCTATGGCCATTACTCTTCCCATTGCTTGGTTCCAGCCCCCGTTTCCCCAGTTCTTCCATAATATCATCTTTAGCAATCATCATCTTCTCTCCAAATATTTCTTTCCCCTTCCGTGCCACGCCCTCCAAACTCCTCATCCCAACTACTAAGAACCCTAACTCCTCCCTCTCAACATCAAACACCTCCCACCATTCATCTTCTGGCATTTTGATCCCCTCTTCCTTTGCTGCTAGGTATATTGCCGCTACTGCTAATGCGCATGGCTGATGTGTCAAATATAGCATCTGCGGGCTGAGCAACGCTGTGTTTAGATATTGTATTGTCTTCTTCGCGACCGCTTTGCCACTGCCATTTTTATGTGCCGGTGAAAATATATCGAGAGTTTGGAGATACGTAATTGCGAGAGGATGGGGTAAAGCGACGTGTGTGTTGAAACCCAGAGCATTCAAGACTTGGCCTTCAATGTTGAGGAGTCTTGTACGGTAGGTTATGTAGGCAGATTCGGAAAGATAGTACGACGAGGAAATATTTTCGGGCACGCAAGAATTTGTGAGACTTGCGGATTGAGAGAGGAGATAAGCATATACATTCGTTATGCTACGAAAGGATCGAGGAGACGCGGATACTTTAGCAGTCAGGTAGAGGGTAGCTGCTGAGACATCCTGAGAGCATGTTATTCCAACAAATCAATGGCAGACTTCCGATTTATCACGTACGCTATATTCATATTGCATCAAGTCATCCACGAGCCAATATCTGTAGAGAAGAACGTTTGCTTGAGCTGTGATATCTTGGGGAAGGCCAAGCAGAATGCCTGCGGCTTGTGTAAGTCGTGCGGCATAAAACCGGATGCTGTCTTGAAGTTCAGATGGAAGTCTGTTATTTGAGGTATTTTGGTATAATTGTTGAGCTGTTGCAAGAGGATTATAAAGGTGTGACATGGTTGCTATTTGTAAAGAAATGAGGGAATGTAGGTTGCGACGTTGTTGAGGTTTAGATATCAATATAATTGTAGCCTTTTGCGCAAGGCTGCCATTTTTTCAACAACAACCATACATAACTTCAACACAGTGCAATAGCGAGTTTGGAACGAACGCTTTTACGACTTCTGATTGTTATTAATATCTATGAAATACAGCTGGTATTAGAGGAATCTCGTTTATCTTATATACCAAATACCAACACAACTCCCCTCACTGCCTAGATGCCAAGAGGGCGATCCTCACTATCTTACGAGACTTCAGAAAACCCCCTCTGGTCCGAGATAAGTACCTGTGATCTCAAATCCTCGAGCATTGTCCTTCGACGCCAGCTCGCTGCCTGCTTTCAAAAACTGAAGAATAATATCAACTGCCCAGTAAACAGTATTCTCAACTGTGTCATCGACAGTGGTTCTAACAAACACGCCGTCGACATTCTCCCTTCCGGTCTCTCTCAACAGCCAATCGAATGAATCTTCATAGCCCTTCCAAACAACTTCTTCAAAGTATCCTTCTGACTTCCACATCTGTCCAGGAAATCTCCCACCAGCTGGAAAATCGATGTATGGGAACCTGCTCAGTCTCCTCTCTTTAGCGACCTCCTTGCTAGTAGGCAAGAATAGTTTGATATCAAATTCTTGCATCAAAGCTGCCTTTGCCACAACTTTCTCTTCCTTTGCTCTCATGACTTTACACTTCTTCAACGCAGCTTCTTTCTTGAAATCTTGTTGTACAATTTCTGATCGCTCTATACAACGGTCTTCGACTTCTGAGGATGTATCCAGCCATGAGCTTCTGTCGTCAGAATGCAAAGCTTTGCTGAATAATAGAAATCCCTCAACAAACACCCATCTATAGTTATAGTCCGCAACAACATTGTTTCTCATACGATTACCTGTTCCAACGGCTAAGCACTCTCTAACTCTTCTGCGCATGCTTTCGATGACACCGGAATATTGCTCAATCAGTTCCTTCTTGTCTGCGTCATCTTTGTATTGAATACACAACTCTGGCTCAGCATTATTGGCCTGTGCAACTTGAACCATTCGAAGTAGATTGCCAAAATCGACCGCTTCCATACAATCAGTATTTGGTCCTGTGATCTGCACATTTTCTTCCCCATGCGTGCCAGTTCGGGCGTAGAAATAGACTGGATTCTTATTTTTTGGAGCAAGACTTTCTCTTATAAAATTTTCGTCGTTAGGAGCGCTGTCGAATTGGACCAATGGACAGCCAGCTTTCGGAATGAAGAAAGCGTCCTGATGGATTATGGTTGTAAAGGGATGCGTAGCTTTTGCATCGTCTAGATTATTTTCCTTGGGTATATGTAGAGATTCATTGCCTGTCGAGTGTTTTGTGGTTATAGAAGAAGAGAAGATCTCTGAAAGTAGTAATGCTAACGTTGTCTTGCCTGATGAGCTACACCCCGAGATAGCTATAGTGATCGTTTTTGCGGTAGTTTGACTGACATCACATTTCTTCGTTGTTAGGTATGGCTCTGGTGAGTCAAGTCTCACCAGTGATTCAACAGAGCACAACATTTCTTTTTGCTGGCTAGGATGATAGAAAGAAGGGTTGGGGGTTGTGAATTCTTGAGACTCCATGGCTTGGAATCTTCAAATAAGACCAAATTTGTAACAACCTGAGATCAAGCTTATTACTCGAAGATAAGTTTGGGACTATTCTGACTAGATGTAGGAAAGTCGCAACCACTGTATCGTAAGGTAAACAATCAGCGTCAATAGTCTCTTTTGTCTTTTGAAGAGGTTTAGTTTAAAGTCCGGTACATATCTGGCTAGTCGAAGAAATTGTTTCTTTGATATACAACAAGGAATCATCATAGCCACAACGTTTATTCTATAGAGTGAATCATGAAGTCGGGATTGATTCCTCAGTCTTCACGTGAATGACTGTCGATCAAGGGTTAAGTGGCATTAACCTACCAAGGTTTATATTGCTATTTGAAACATACTGATTAGATCTACGTAAAGACTCAATGTAATAATCTAATACCTGTGTTTTAGTCTTTGTGCGTGTTCACTTGTATCATCATCGAGCTCCATTCAGATTTCACCCATCAGCCCCTAGCAGCCTCAGTACTTGACAGCCAGCCAAATGTAACAATATCAATACGAACCAAATCCTCATATGCTTGCCATCTACAATGCTCCAGATGACTCGTTTTTAGATCGGCTTTCAATCTCCGTATCCTCCCATAGATTAAGCAAAGATAACATAAGAAAGCTAATTAGGAGATCACTCACCATGAGATTTCAGGAGGACCACCTATAAAATCGAGACACAAGTTTCTACAATCTTGAAGGAAGAATGGCATATACATAAGACCCCATCTCTTCTGTTACAAAACTACAAATAGCCATTGAAGGGACGAAACTATATCTTAGTGCAACATTGAAACCGAGGCAGGGAATGCGGCGTGGGAACAAACCAAGTTAAATGTTTATAAAAATTCATACGATCAAGACACTACCATCCTGATAAGAAATCTTGCGTGGGTTTTATGATAATTTCATCTTGTTGTTTATGAGCTCTTTCACTCAAAGGTTCAAAACAACAGCATTCAACAAGCACAAAGGTCTGTACCTATTATTATGATGAAAATCTTTGGTCTCCGAGTATGCAATGCTATTAGAAGATTGAAATAAGAGCTAAATCATTGGAGCCAGCCCTGTGATGCAACTTTTGCCACTTTTGATTACCGGTGAATTCCTGTTCCTGCCAGATTCGTGTTGTCCATGCTACCACAATTCCAGATGTGTTTACTGTCTCCCGAAAATCCTTCAATACTAGCTTACCTTCGATCAACTGCAGATCCCACTATTAGCTTGGGGATATTTGGCTGTAGATGGAATTGAGGAGAACGATAAGAAATTTGCGTTTGAAGGATTAGAAGACTTGCACTGACAACAACTAGAATTCACCTAAGAGACACATTAAATCCACATGCGGAGAACTCTTGACCTGAATATCACCAGGTCTGGAGTAAGAATCAGTACAGGGAAACGGGCCTAGAATGCAACCAGATACAGGGCTGGTAAATTGGGACGCTAGGGTTCGAATTCCCGAGTTATCGCAACAATTCTGAACAGCAGAAACAGTGTAGTAAGTTTCTTCTTGCCAGCCCTGGAATGTGATTTCACCAGTGATCTTGGGAACGTCTGGGGTTTCTCCTGAAAGAACAGCTTTGAAGGAACCGCTCCAGCTAAGTTTGATTCTCATTAGTAACATGAAGGCTTGATATTTCATTGGGTAGTAGACTTACCCTTGAGGAAAGCGAACAACTGCATTTCCGTTCACAGAAGTCGCTGGAACAAATAAGCTGGAAACTTCAGCAGAGCCGGCATTCGGGGTGAAGAAGATGGTGCGTTCGATGTTGTCTTGAGACAGAAATTGCAAGCTATTTCCCATGACAGCAGGAAGGAGCGAGGAGATAGAGATTACAAAAATAATGAGACTGTTGAGAAGAGACATTTCGAAGAGGTGAAATTAGGACTCAACGAACGAGAAGACCTTACAATTGAAACTGAGGTTTTGGGATCAGGTTGATCAATGTTGAGAATTTGATTGTCTATTGTTCCGAATGATGAATAAGAGAAAAGTTGTGATTGAAGAGAGGAAATGTTTGGAGAAAGTTGAGTACGAGTTGATAAGGACCACGAGGAGCCAAAGACCAATTCGCCAAGCCTCGCGAGATGAACTCCAAGTTAGATTTGAAGTTGTGACCGGAAAGTGAATTACTCCTTTTGAGCTGTTTTGAGAAACATCGTGCGATACCTAGTCAACGAACCACGTCACGAAAAGGCAAGTTGGGAAATGATATCAGAATTCTGAATGTCGGAATTCAAGAAAATGAAGGACGGCGATATGTTGAGGCTGAAGTCAGCTTCGTAAAGTTAGATAAAAAATCAAACGATAAGACAAACAAGCTACCAATCCCAAACGCTTCGGCGATACCGCAGCAGTCGGTGCTGAGAGTTTTCAAAGCAGTCAATTTCAAAGGAAACCTTCAGAGAACACGTCCCGAGGGAATAACAATCTATTGCTTGTTGCCGGATTCATGTACAGCTAAGGTCGTGAATTTTATCGCTATGTAACGAGGTGGTATGAGTCGTTCCCACTTTAGAATAGCCACTCCACAACCGTGGACGTAGATGCATCCCCTATTTCGTCACCCCACCCTTTGCAATCAAGCGAGAAAACGAATCCACGGACCAACAAAACACGATTTATGAATCGAGGATCTATGTATTTCCATAACGAACACACATAAAACATAGTATTTGCGGCAAACATGGAGAAGAGAGTAAGCCAGATTTGGCTTGTGATTAAATGTGTGGAAATTTCTTAACAAGGAAAGTCAAAAAGTTGATGCAACCACGGCGAATCGAACGCCGACCTCCACCTTGGAAGGGTGGAATCCTAACCATTGGACTATAGAAGCGATTAAGGAGACGAATGTTTAATTCATTTCTTGTGGATAGGACTGAATTTTGAGTATATATCACTTGTGCTTTGTGGGTGGAGATGTGTGGAGTCAAATGGGTGGGTGGAGATCAAATTAGTCATATCCGTGCTTCAATGTCAAGGATTTGATGTTTAAATTATGAAAGACTCGACCTTCCTCAATCTATAGTAGAGGATCTGCTTATAAGAAGGGTTAGAAGATTGTGATGATAAGATCTGGCAGGTCTTATCATAGAGCACCTTCCAGAGTAGTTATGGACGCCCATAGCAGTTACCGAAAGTTTGTAGTTTTTGCTAATACTTCACTTGACTTCTTGTCCCAAGTTTGAAGGTATCCCTCATATCTGGTAACATGAATAACCCATAATCCGTTCGAACGCTTGGAAGATACACTTATTAAACCGGTATGAATATTTGTCGATAAGGTTGATCATCTTTCCCGTGGCCTTCACATTTTGTTTCATGGTCTAACGTATCAAGTACTTCAAAAGATTCTTAATTAACCACTTCACGATACATCGATATTCCCAGTTGCTTGTCACTATCTGAATCGCACTATCAAGTCGATTCAATAAGCCATTGGCGATGATGATCCTTCAAGGCCATCGCTCCAACTCCCTTTCCTCTAACGATGAAACCGCCATATCTGCACATCAAGAAACCAGACAAGGTCCTCGACGAGATTCTAAGCCATGGGCCCGTGATTCGTCTTTTATTTCGCATAGTTCTGAGCGGCAAGCGAATCTTACGCCTTTCAACACCATGCATATGCCCCGTCTAGATTCAGTTGGCAGTCAAGAACGTCGCTCACACATGCCTATCTGGGAGCCTCTATATATGGAAGACATTTCAGACAAAACGGAACAAGATGGGACACTCAGAAGCCGAGGATCGACGGATGCCAATGGTTCGAAAGTGCTCATCAAAAGTCCTTTCTGTGGTGGTGATGATGGAGATGAGAGCAGCATGGACCAGGGTTGTTGCGCTTGGAAGTTGTGCTTGTCTCTTATGACCGCCAATTGGATGTCTCGTGCAATGTGAGGCGATTGTTTGAGTGCTACTGGCATTTTATAGAGTTGCTATTACGGAAGAAATAGACGAAAGAAGTTGTGCGTATCAGGATTACAATTCCTGGGGTAAATTAGGTAGAATCATTATCCGTAGGAAATCAGTACTAAAGGCTTCATGCAAATACATTATCAAAATTTGGTACTGATATCATTCATTGAGGGTATGTATGGGATCTTAAACTGGGTTTGCTATAGAGATGAAAGTATCATCGCAGTCGAATTCTCCCGTTTGTAGAAGCAGCATGATCTAATTTGAAACCACTTTTGCCCAGCTCTGAATTTTGCTGACTATATTCGATAAACCACATGAATGACAATATTGATGACCACTATAAGCGATCTTACTCCTCCTATTCTATTTCCCAGGGGCGAGTTCCGAATCATGGATGCTTAAAAGTAGAGGAAGCTAGATTCTATGCACTACATTCATCTTATCATTCATTAATGCTTGCAGAATTATGTCAACTGAGTATAGAATATTCTCATAAGGAAACTAATTTGCTTTCTCTTACCATTATTCTTCAAGAGCCTTCTGCTTGTCTTAAGTTGAGATCATGTTTCTTGAAAGAAGGGATTAATATTCTGCATGATTGTTACCAAGAAGTGATAGCTGGTTGTGGAATGACAAAAAGGTGTAAGTGAAAAGCAGGATGGAGTTGATGAGTACATAGTGAATCACCATTATTCCTCTCTTCATGAAATTTGCATATTATTTAATCAGAGTCATGAGAATTCGCAGCGTACTTGCACATATTTTAACGCTTGTGTATTTGGATTGCATCTACTCACCTGTTCAGCCACGTAATTGGCTGTTTAGTTTGAGTTCCCATCAAGATTCCATATCACTCAGCAATGTCTCTATATGAAAACGGCACTTATAAGCATTCAGTCATTCTAAAATTATACGCTCGGCGCCATACTTCCGTCTTGCAGTCACTTGAGAAGTGAATTTAGAGAGGACAACTTCATACTAGACCCTCTCAAGGTTTCCGTGGTATTAATTGGACTCATTGTTTTCCATGGTTCACTAGAAGCAGTAACTTGTAGCCATGAGAATTTTGAGAATACTCATAGGTAGCGGAGCAACTGGAGTTCGTAGCTCTTATTTCTCTACTATAATTGGTAGTAACTTAAAAAATGCAGGCAATATCATGAAAGTATTTGGTTGAATCTCGAAAATTCACTTATATTGTAATTAATAAAATGAGACTTCGCTAATCGTCCTTAATTTTGCGCGTTCAAATCGCATATATTTGGCTCCACTAAAAATTGACACGGCAGCTTCGAAATTCATGATTTGATATAATCTCGCACTTTTCAGAATCTGGACCTGCAACAATTACAAAGTAACAAATTCCAGATCTCAAAGACCAAAACTTACATCCACAAAAAATCCAAATTTCAATGACTCTTTGAAACAGACCTTTCAAATTTGCCCTACTTACTAGTAAATTCTTGAAGTCACACATTTGTTTGACAGATCATTCTACAAATTGCCAACATGAATTTCACTACCAACAATAAAGCTTCTGGAGATGCTCGCCGCACACAGGGTTCCACTTCGTCATCGTCAAGAGACACCCGCAAGCATGACATCGAGCTCGATAACAACGATGAGCAGCAACCCACCAAGCGTACTAGACGCGAGGAGTCCCCGATCACTCCTTCCAAAAATTCAATCGACCATCTACAACGCAAAAGCGAAGGTAAATCTAAGCCAATCTTGTTTACAACTTCGCGCGTCGAAGGCTCCACTGGTCATGTCTCTGTTAGTCTATCTGATGACCCTCGCAGCCATTCTTCTCCTTCACCTGCTGCTAATGATCATCACATGGTTTACCCAGTCGCCCAGAATACCACGTCCGCAACTTCTCAGGACATTTTGAAGGAGCAAGATCATGAAAGTCTCAAACTACTTCTTGAGCAGAAAGATGAAGAAATAATGAGATTACAAATCAAGCTTGAGGTCAGAGATGAACTCTACATCGAGGATGCTGCTCGTGAGGTAGAGCTAAAAGACGCAGTTGAGAAGTACCGTTCAGATGCCGAATATTGGAAAGAAAGAAGTTCTGGTGGTCTTGAAAGCTATCATATTTTGCAAGAGAAATACAAGACTCTTGAAATCAAGCTTGAGACAGTTACGACTGAGTCACAAGTAAAATATAAAACCCTCGAAGCCGAACATGAAGCAGTCAAGACTGAATTCGAAGAGCAATGTACTGTTGTGGCAATACAGGAGACAGAGCTGGCGGAATTACAAGAAAAATACGATACACTTGAAGCCAAATACAAGACACTCAAAGCTATAGACGTCAACCAGGCTTCTTATGCATTGTTTGAGGGTCGAAAAGTGAGATTTCCCTCATCGTGAGGGATGAATGCTTCTGCTAACTTTGCTTAGTCTCCTGAATTTATATCTGTTAATCCCGGTAAACCGCTTTTTACAGATGAGGAGCTGGCAGCAAAGCGAAAGAAGCTCGCGGACGAGACCGCGGCCGAGTTGCAGAAAGTTTTGCAGGATCGCCGTAATAATGTCGTCAAGGACTGCGATATTGTTATCGAGTCCGTTGAAGTTGTTCCGGAAGATATGAGAATGAGCGAAGTACTTGAAGAAACGTCTGACGCAGGCTCGAGGTCATCAAACCCAAAGGTAAGAATATCTCACTGCAACCTTGAAGGTCTCCTAGAGGCTACTTTTAGTTTTCTTTTGCTAACACAATGACAAATCCAGAGAACCGGCTCTTCCGTCCCTCTCATATACGCCTCACCATCAGTCACAACCAAGTCACCGGATCCACCCAACACTTATGAGTCTAATCGCCGTTTGTGGGATACACCTGACATACCTCTTTTTCCTGGCCCAATTGAGGAATCTCCATAGGTAGCTTTACACATCCAAAGTCAGTTGCCACTTCATTTCCTAAATTTCCTTGTACAAAGCCCAGCAACTAACTTGAAGATGTCCGTAGGCAGTAGACTGTCCATTAGATCAGCATGTCTAGCACATGACGCGAATCGCCCGAGCAACGAAGCAAGGCCGTCGGTTAACAAGAAAATGTTCAACCTGCCCAGAGGGAGCCAGGAAGCCTTGGGAGTGGCTCTCCTAAGGTGGATTCAGCTCTAATGGGCAGATGAATGATTCCAAAGTTTCGGTCCCCGTTTGCTGAAAGCTCAATATCGACAAACCATAAGAAGAGACTCAGCACCAAGAACACACAGTTACCTGCGGTATAATCGATCGTGTTGACTCGTTTTGGATCTTTAGGTGCTTTTGAGCTTTGAACGGAGACGTCCCGACAAAGACTTGAAGCACCTTTAGATCTATATCTTGTCCATGATCCCAAACTACACTTACTTGATACTTTACTTCAGTCGGTCCCTCGACCTCAACTTCATTACACACAATACAACTACATGCCTTGGATTCAGCATCAATTAAATTTCACAACTCGATCTTCCTATCACATCATTCTCATTGTCTGCTCTTTTGCAATCGATTTCTCAACATGGTGGACAATCTTCTGCCTATCTCATGGCCACGTCCGGCTTTGGTATTAAGGTTAAGATGCACGTCGACTCCAAAATACATTCACGACATTTCGGATGAGTCCCAGAACTCAACATTGCTCAGAACTCAACATTGCTGCTCGCAGCTCCCAAATCTAAGGTTCACGACTAAAGCAAATTCTCCTCGACCGTTCTACTTCTTACTGTTGATATGTGTGCTGTGGTTCAGGCACTTTTCCCGAGTTCATCGGGTGCCCACAAATGGTGGTGGGTGTTTGCAGTTTACCTGCAGGACCCTGCGGTGAAGGATACTCTGATATGTTTTCGAGGGTTCTCTTTGTCTGTGCGTCGATTCTAGGCCCATGATGACGGCGGTGGCAACACATGTTCTGGTCACTTTTGTATGGTTATACGTGTATATGATTTTTGATGTCCACGGCAGCGATTGGCATTTCACCGATGGTAGAAGTTCCAGGTTGTATGTAGTAATTGCTACATATTAGATTTTGTCTAAATTGTTGATTTACATCCATAAGTCTATACCATGCCGTGAATAATCTCATATATCTTATTGGTGTCTAATTATGCCTACTTATAATATCCCATAGAATACCTCTTCCTTCCTACCTAGAGCTTCAATGTTAGGCCCTCTTGCAACAAATTCACGACACAATGTAAATCTAATCACCACGATGCCTCTCTATCAAAACACAGTCCCAGCCTCATGACTTCACCGTACCAAGAGGCTGAGTTCATATCTTGGGAAATCTATCAGCCATACAAGGATTATTCACTGTATGTTACTAAGTAATACTCAGCAATGAAGGCGGAGTAAACCGTATCCCACCATTCAATTCCAACCAACCACTTGTGTCAAGACCTTGAGAAACTTGCTCATATCATAAGAGGCAAGCAACAGTACGGGCGTCATACAATTTCCCGTAATAAATGATTTTTTGAGTCATCTAATAAGTGAATTAGATACTTGAATTCTCGATTGTCCCCGAGATGAAAGACACAGTGGGATTTTCCGCGTCTTTTACTTTCTGTCAAGCTCCTTCTCCTCTTTTACCACCAACAAGAGCCAGACTACCCCTCAATAACAAATTGAAGGATTCAAAATTGTATAGCATTATCCAATTACCATAAGTGAAGTTATGAGAGTAACATGAGACCACTTAATCTTCCATAACTACCTCGGTACCGACCAGGTTTCTGTTGGGAAATCGGCGTAGAAAACTCTGCGAAATGAGTGTTTGAAGTGAATCTATATTATCAAAAGCCTCAAAAAGTGAATGCCACTGAGGCTCAGCCGATCAGAGTTTTCATCCAGCTTAATTAGCGAGTACTCTCTTGCGTACAAAGTCGTCCTCTTCTTTCCCATAATTTATTTCAACCTCCGTCCTCTTTACATCCAAAAGTTCCAGAATCCATTCAAAGCTTCATTCATACTTGACAACAGTCGCACGACTTGCAAACATTCAACGAATCCAGCCCGTACAACATTACAACACACCTTGCGTATTCTGACTCTTTTACAACTCTTCTTTTACTTTGCCGTAAGAAAAATCCTCTCTCTTGAAGAAATACCGCTTCTCCATACGCCCTAATTACACATAAGTCCTTTATTACTTTACGTGTTACTCAACACCACATCATAACAACTTCACCAAGCACTTCTTGACAGCACTTCGTATTTCAAAGTACTTATTAATTACTTCAAACTGCAACTTCAGTTGCAGAACCTCCCTCTTTAACAATCAACCATCAACCTCATTTTTTACGAATCATGCCTGCCATTACAAGATCCAAATCTCCTTGCAAGGCATCGACCGATCAAAACCGAGCCTCCTCCGCCGCAGATACCTCCAAAAACGTCGCACCGGTCGCAAATAAGAAAGCACCTGCAAAGGAAGCTATAGCTGGTGCTAACAATGCAGTAAGTCACCTCTGTTCATCAATCTCACATTCTTTGATACCCGATCATGTTCCCCTATCTTGAACCCCACTTCAAATTTCATCAATGTGAATGTTCCTTGCTTCTGGAAGCTTCATGTCTTCATTTTGATTTTGACACATCTTTTTCATCCCGCACACTATACAACAAGATATTGCCATGGCATTATCTTATTTGATCATATGCTTTGAATTCAATCATGACACTTGCTGACTCCATATTTGCAGCTTTCCGATGCCATGGTTCCAGCCTTGGCGCCGCTCTCTCCTTCCAAGAGAAAGAGAAGCTCAAAGACTCTCAATGGTGACGAAGGGATTGGCGCGAAACCTTCTTCTGAGCCTTTGAAGAGAACACGGGTTGAGAAGAGTGATGCTTCTCGTTCCCACCCAACAAGTGGTCAACCTGATTTGGCTGCAACAACCTATCCTCAAGTAGAGAGGGTAATCCTTGGTCTTGAAGTCACACCAGTATTTGGCGCTACTGGTGGTGCTCCCAAGGAGGGTCTTGATGCTGCCGCATCAACTCCCACATCCTCTCCAAAGTCCGTCGAAACCACGGCCGCCGCTCCAGTTTTGGACGGCGAAGAAAATGGTGTCATGGCAAAGGCTCCAATTTCTGCGGCCACTGTTGCAGCTGGCCAAGTCGATGACGAGACTGTCCTTGAGCAACATTCAACTCACCCCGCTGCCGATCCTGCAGACCCTTTGACTGCCAACGAGGCAGAAGCCCATCTTCCTGCTGCAACTCAGGGTTGCTCTGCGAGCGATCGTGAGATTGCTAAAGAGGAACTTGATGCCCCAAAGATCGGATGCAAGTGTGATAAGCTTGCTACCAAAGATCAAAAGATTGCTCAGCTGAAAGCTGATTTACGTGAAACTAAAGCTGATTTACGTGAAAGCCAAGCTGATGTGGATAGAGCTAAAGCTGTATTCCAGAGGGAGTACGAAGCTGCGGTTAGAGAGACAGATGCTATTGAGATCAAGGAACAGAGAGCTCAGAAGGAGAATAGCAGATTGAAAAAAGAATTGGAACGCGTTTTAGAGTCAAATCATGAGCTCCGAAGTGATAGAAACCGATTTTCTGCACAAATCCGAGAGCTTTCTCAACAGTATGACGGTTTGAAGAGAGAGAACGAGCAACTCTCCCAGAAAAACGGGGTGCTCATGGAGGACATTAACAAATTTCATAACGCCCTCGATGTTTTCAATTCGCAAGCTCCTCTCTTGACCTCGGATCAAGAAGAACTCAAGCGAACCAGGAAGCTTCTTAAGGCCGCAACAGTGAAGGTAGCGGAATATGAGGGTGAACACCAGGATGCAGAGCGTTTTTTCGCTGCACGTAAGGTAGTTAAGAGCATCGAACCAGTCGATCCAGCTCAAGGAGGCATGTCCCACGATAATCATAACCGTGAGGAACAAGCCCAGGAAAATCGCTCCCGGGATTTTCGCACACCAACTCCCGACAACAATAGTGGAATGAAAGGCGCTCAAAAGTCTCAACCAACTTCCGGTTTAGTCGGCTTTCGGGAACCACCTAGATGGGAATGTCGTCATGACCGTGGTTTCGACGGAAATACCTGTGCCCACTGTGGCGTCCACGTTCTCTTCGACGGTCATCCCGAGTTTGATCGTGATAGATCCATTGCTCCTGCAGATGAATCACTATTCGATTCCAGTGATGAAGGAGAGCGCGACCGTGAGAGCGCTTCTTATGAACCAGCAGAAGCTGTTATCAATACCCAGGATGGATTCCAACAGGGTGGTTCCCCGGACCTCCCTGGCAAGGAAGATCATGAAGACGACGGCGAGGAGGATGGATCTCTGGATGGCGTTTCTCCTGTCGCCTCTAGCAATGTGGATAAAGAAAACGACGAGGACGATGAACCTCAGTTTCTCGGTTCACGTGTCCTCTCTGGCAATGGGGATGAAGAAAACGACGAGGAGGATACATCACAGTATGAAACACCCCCTGTCTTACCTGACTACGAGTATTATGAGAGTCAAGATCAACAGGATCATCAGGAACCTCCTCATCATGCTGCAGAAGTTGAAAAGACTACTGCTGCCCCTTCCGACTCGCTCACCTCTCCCTCTCCTTCTCCTTCCAGGAAGAGAAAAGAAAGTCCCGTCAGCGCATCGAGCCCTGCCAAGAAGGTCAAGGTAACCGAAATCGATTTGGCTGGTCCTAGTAGTACTGCTGCACCAGATAAGGCCAGTTTCTTCAAGCCTGCACATCCAGGCTGGGGATCCCCAAGCGTTCTTTCACCACAGGTTGCTGTCACTGCTCCAGCACCTTCAACTCCATCTTCAGCAAGTGAGCGCACCACAGCAGCACCCTTATTTCCGACTGTCATCACTCGTTCTGGAGCTGCAGTCCAATTTGGAGCTGCGACAACCTTTGGTGCCTTTGGTGCCGCTCGTTCTTCTGCTCGCTTTGGAACTACCAACTCATTCGGAGTTCCAGCCTTCGCTGCTTCTCCTAAGGTGGATGATGCTGAAGATAAGCCAGCTGATGAAAAGAAGTAAGTGAAACTCCCAGCCTGCCTAACCACCAACCAACTCATCTACAACACTCATCGTTTCTCAATCATTCAAACGTCGTGGATGCAGTGATGAATGAACAATGGTTTCTTGTACCTGAAAGAACTACGCTGCCTTGAGTTTGGAACGCTCATGGTGGATATTGGGTTCTAGATGGGTTCCATTCATGAAGCTTTTGTTCTTAGTCCTGCACTCTTCGACGTCATCGACTCTTTGTACTGGTTGGGCTCGGTTTCGCACTGGATCATACTTATTTTATTATATTGGTAAAAAATTCTCTCCTCTCTCTGGTGTCTTCAGCCTGTTCAAGATCATTAACTCGGTGCGGCTCATTACCACCATCAAAATTTCGCGGTGAGGCTCCACGCATTTCAGGCCTGAAAAGGACCATTCGGGTTTCTACCATGAGCAGCGGCGACTGCTATGTGTATTGCCACCATGGATTGGTGCATTCTTCAAGAAAATAGAAAAGCTCAAAAAAAAATGAAATCAAAAAACAATCACCAAAAAAAAGCTTACCCTCACCTCTCTTTTCATCTCGACCTTGTCCCTTCAAATCCTTTGGCTTTCGATCCTTGGCCATAACCTCTTCTGGAATTTTCCGGAGTTTCTCTAACCCCAGCATGAGACCTGTTGGTCTAACCATCTCTTCATTTCAAAGACCTCCAGCGTTCGTCATCAGCGAAAGACTATTGAGAGTCCTCTGACCACATGACTCCGTCTTCATATAACCAAGTTTCTTGACATTGTCATGCAACTTTATCGGTTTGAATACCCCTCGGATATTTGACGCCAAAGATTTTCGACGGGGAACCTTACCCCCTAACTAATTCTTCGATACCATAATCCTTCCCGATATCGATTTACTTTCGGTTTAGGCGCTCGTGTTTGCGATGTGCATTACTAATATTGGATATTCGCGCCAACGTCTATCCACCTGAACATAACCACCATAACCACCATAACCACCTTAACCACCATAACCACCTTAACCACCATAACCACCTTAACCACCATAACCACCTTAACCACCTTAACCAAATACTTTCGACATTCGCATCTCTAGCAATGTCCATGATGGTCATTACGCCTTCACTAATATCGACTTCCCTTCAGGCACTTCCTTCACCAGGATTTTGGGAATATCACCACCTCTATTATCTTCGCACCATTAACACCTTCTCGGTTTGTGCACCAGCTCCAACGATGACAAGATCAATCTTCGTATCGAGAGCTTACCACCTTATTGACATTAGCATCCCTCAGCAATGTCTATGATGGCCATTACGCCTTCTTTAACTTACTTCCCTTCAGGCGCTTCCTGCACCACCAGGATTTTGGGAATATTGTCTCCTTTAACTACGTACCATCGGCACCTTCTCGATTTGTGCATCATATAAAGGCCATTACGCCGTCATTAATATCAACTTCTTTTCGGATACTTCTCCACCACTAGGATTCTTGTGAGTATTACCACCCCTCTTGACTTCGCAACGTTGAAGCCCCCCCCCCCCCCCCCCCGTTCGCACTTGCGGAAATGCTGACAAGTTCTTTCATAGTGTCCAACCCCTACCGGCATTCATGTCAACAATGTCAACACCATCATCTCACGCCAATGCTGGCACTGGCGCGAGATCCACGGACTGAATCCACCAAGATAGTTCAGGAAAGAAATCCCCCCACTCTCAAAAACTAATTTCTTGTTTCTTCATGCTGCGGTGGCGATCTAGTAAAGTACCCCCAGCAGCATTCGGATCTTTTCAGCTTTCATACAGCGGCGGCAATCCTCTGTTCCCCCGCACAGTCAACTTCGTCCACAGCAGGATCGTATCTCAGAATTTTTCCTCCATCACGGCAGCGATCTAGTAAAGTACCTCCGCACCCATACATTCGGTTTCGTCCTGGAAAATACTGCACAATCTCGGTCTATCGGCGTCCCAAAATTAATGGTTTCACCATGTCCAAATCACTGGTGTCAAAAAGTACCACAGACGTACAAAACAATCACGAAAAAACTTCAAAAGAGAAAACCTTCAAAAAAAAAACTCGGTGCGCCCTCTCTCACCATTCTGGTATCAAGCTCACCTTTCAACTCAAACGTTCTTGATACCCACCTGGATTTCAACTTACCCAACCTTTCTCCGAAGACCCACCACATCGATTCTCACCGGTTCGTGTCCATATCGACAAGTAGTGACGACTACAAGGGACATGTATCTCGGTATCGATACCTCAGAATTCCTCTCTCTTCTCTCTCACTCCCTTCTCCTCCTCATCAGCAATCGCTGAGACCTCTCTTACAAAATCTGCTTACTTCATCCTAGACTGACTGCATCAAATTCTCTGCGACGGAATCACCACGTGCAGCAGATCAGTCATGGTCTAGATGGGAGATCAAGCAAGCATGAGAGGCCATCCTGGAGGGAAAGAAAGCGAACAACCAAAAGAAAGTACAAAGCACAAAAAAGAAACCCGGAAGATTGCAAGAAAGTACCAGTAGATAGTTAGCAGTAGACAGTTCCATCAGAGGCACGTCCGCCCCCGATGCGTCTGATTTAATTCCCTAAGTTCGGATGCGTTGTTAAGTGGTTTCCATTGGGGGCACGTCCGCCTCCGATGCGTCTGATTTTTCTTTCCTAGGTTCGGATGCGCGAAAACCCACATATGTGTTGCAACGCTTGGGAAGGAACCCAGGTTAGTTCCCGTATGATGAGGGTGGAGGACATGCTCGAGTAGATGATTGGAGGTGTTTAGAGTGCTTGGTTTGGGGTGCTTTGTATTTTGTATTCTGTATTTTGGTGTGTTTTGGTGTATGCCGGTGGAGCTCTAGTTATATGGAAAGATTCTGATATGGTCGATGGTTTCAAGAAGCAGCATCTTGCTATTGAATGGGAGTTACTTGGTGAAAAGATTTACGAACGAAAAAAGAGTGCAAGATAAAGATAGTCGGAACCCGGAGAGGGCCAGGAAACCTTGGGAGTGGCTCTCCCAAGGTGGATTCAGCTCTAATGGGAGGAAGTAATTGGCGCTTTGTGTCTGTCTAGATATGGGATGTGGAGTTTGAGGGCTGGGAGATGGGGAGTTCAGATAGATACACTTGTGTTCTGATGGTTTTCCAGAACGGCTTATGAAAATGGATGGTTTACAAAAAACTACTTGTTTGCTTTGATTGTGATTGTGAAATGCTTGTGAATTGCAGTTGTGCTGGTGATATGTTACAAAAAATCTACCTCAAAGCTAGGGTTACTGGGTGTTGAACTGAGAAGGTCCTGTGTAGGTATTCAAAGCATGCTTATCGGTCTAAATATTGAAAAAATGAAATGGCAACTTGCCCAAATACTTTCAGCGTTCATTAATCCTGTGTGTTCGTTGCAAAATGTTCGCAAGTTTCCAAGTGAAGTAGCCAAATTTAAAGACAATAAACGCAAATCAAGGGAAACAATTATTCATTATTCATAAACTCATCATCAATCGTTACCCATTAGCCATATATTCGTTCCACGATTATAATCCATACATAAGTTCATCGCAGGAGAAGCCAAGGAATTTGTTCCTTCGGTCTCTCATCTCTCTTCCTCATCCTCCTCCTCATCATCCTCACAAACCCTGCAGCTCGTATCTCATCGATTTATTTCATAAACTTCGATTGTACCCAGAGATTCTAATCACCTTTCTCCACTTAATTATCCTTCAGCTTGACTTCTTCCTCATAACAGTACGTCAACGGGGCTAATCAGCCGGTCTCGAGAGCGTATTCCAATATCCGTTCTGAAAGATGTTCTTCAAAAAGAAATCCATATTGCCTATGAGCATTCTGCTACTATAGGCATGATCTGATTGGTCCTTCTCATTACTTCCTTGTCGTGTCCAAGTCATCGTGGCCTGGCCGAGTTTCTTTCGATTATTGATCGTTCAAAGTGTCTGTCAATGTTTCAACATCTAGCAAAGTTTAATGAAGCCGCATCTGCCTCGGAATTTCGAACCAGTGTGAAAAATGGAAACTTTTACTAGGCTAAAATCGGGATGTCCAGACCCTTCAAGCATTGCACTCCTGTTTTGGTGCTCAGCATAGTCCGAATTGGCTTCTGCGATCCTCGTGAATCCTATGTACGTTTATTCAAAGCAGTCCTTCTGTGGTCGATCCCATGGCAGTCCTCATATATGGTATACAGAGCCTGAATCCACGAATCAAGTGCGGTCTCAGCCGCTGATGTCACGTGTAAATCACGTGAGTTAGTTCGCAGACCCTTTCGAATGGATTCGTAAGCCTCAATCATAAGCAGGATCTCTAAGCTTGATGCCTTGTTTTCTTGTCCCGTAGTATGACGATCTTGCTGGAGTGATGTTGATAACTTGCTTGTGAGGAGGTTTAAGCAAATCTGTAGGCTGATATCCTGGTCTGATAGAGATGTCTTGTCTAATGGTTCGCATGCTGGGGATACTACTTTCTCGACCCCGAAGTTGTTATTCTTTTCCTCCCCTTTGAATATCGAACTATGCGGCGAGCCCCTTCCGTCAGATCCAACAAGAGTTTCGCAATCCGAGGCTTCAGATGGTGATGTCGCATTGCGTCTGCACAGATCTCGAAGACTCTCTTGAGATTTTATTTTCCTTAACGTTCTCTTGACCGGAATGACAGGTAGATCGAGGTTCCAAGAAGAGGATATACGTCGTCGTGGTAATGTTTTCTGATATTGGTTGGCAAGCCATTCTGAAGAGTTGTGTTCCATCGCTTTCTTTTCCAATTGGCCAATGAAGAAGACCGGGGTTTTAGCTCTCTTTCGTAAAGTCTCCATTTTACTGGTAGTACTGCGTTCGTCGGAAGAATATATACTAATCGAATAATTCGAAGGTACACGACGGATGCGATAATTATTAATGTCGTTATTATGTTGAACTTGAGGTGGATATCTGGGAGATTGTATACTCATCCGCACTTGAGCTGGTGAATAAAAGTTTTGTTCATGTTCTTTCTCTGTTAGATCCAAGTCTCGACCCGCACAAGTAATCGCTACGTCATCGTTGCCATTGTCATCACCAATTGCTTCATTCTCTTCTTGTATTAAATTTAAACAGGGTTGTCCTCTGAAGTCTGACGCTGTCACAACTTCACCGAATAGACAGCGAGGAGGAAGCTGATCCCTAGGTAGATCATTGAACGTAACTTGTTTTTGTGAACGTTTTGCTTTTTGGAAATCTGTTGGTTCCGAATCTTCAGAGCTTTTCTTGAGGCCTAAGGAGCCTAGAATACTGGTAAACGACCTCATAATGAAGGGGCTTGCTTGTTGTTGTTTCTCGCTTCTTAGTTGCACAACCACAGCATAGAAATCTTGATTTGACAACAATCAACTTACAACGAAGAGCTGTCCTCGATAGTGGGGAACTTCGATGCATTATATGTGTTAACTGTTATTTTTCTGACTTCAGAGCCGAGTAGGGGGATCAACGAGTTATACCATCAGATGATATGACATGGCATTTGAGCTTTGATATTGATATTGTGATTGTGAGAGTGAGAGTGAGAGTGAGAGTGAGAGTAAGAGTAAATTGAGAAGGCTGGCTGTGGCGCAACCATTCCGTTAAATGAAACTGGAAATTAGTGTACATTGTGCTATTTTGTAGGAGCATCTATACGAACTTACCTACATGCAAAGAAAATGTTGCGAGTATCTTTTAATCTGGATATTGTTTACTCGACCATTCATCTTAACGGCCACAACGCCCTTTTGCGTTTTGGTGGCTGATTGATGCTTTGCGGTATGGTCTTTCTTCGCCGATTAGACCTGCTTACAGTTCAAATGCCAACTTTAATCATGGGCAAGTTCGTCGAGCGTATTTTCTATATGGTAAGAAACAAGGCACAGACTCGCCATTTCAATAGAATTCAGTGAGATGGCGCAAAACGTTCAAGGAGCGAAGAAAAGTAAAAGTATGTTTAAGGCTGGAAAAGAGTTGAAAGTAGCAGAAGATGGGGAATTACATTTCTTATCATACTTCTTGATGCGATTTTGTAGTGATCAACTACCGACTCTAGCAGTGCCTGTATGTATCCACCCCCGAGCCACCATCATTATATTTTTACAAACACGATCTGAATTGTAAACAACTCTATAGAATACAACTCGCCGGGCCATTGGTGAACGAGAGCATTCTGTTTAATTGTCTGTTGTTAACATACTCGATTTGCAATTCTCCTCTTTGCGACAAAGTCATTCATTATGATTCACGAATTCGTCAGACAATAAGAAACTCAAATCACAAAATAGCTTTCAAACCGTTGTCTTAAAAACTTTTAAGGCTCCTTACAAATCTTAACTCTGAACTAAGTAATTAGATTATAGAATTTTATTGATATTAAATGATGTTTAGATTAACATAATTCGTATGCGAGTGGATTATATTATCAAATAGATCACTTAAAAATACACCAAAATTAGTTATTTTTAATATTTCTATTTTAATAACTAATCATTCTTTTTGAAAAATAAAAAAATATAAAATAATAATAAAAATGAAAATTAAATATTTATAATTTCTTTATAGATATTTCGTTGGAAATATAGTATATATGCCACGTGACATACCACGTGAGATATGGCACGTATACTTACATATATATCTTTCATTTTGTAGTCTATCTTTTTAGTCTATTAAGTCAATCTACATAGTCATTAATATATGCAACTACTATTCTATCACTCTCTTTTTAATATATTTTGATTATAATTCAAAATTGTTATATTTTGTATTACAAAAACCTTCTTTTTCAAATAACTTTTATATTAATTGAAATTTTGAAATAATAATTAAATTTTTATATTATTTATATAATTAGATATTATAACGTAGTTTATCAGTAAGCAGGTTATATTAGTGAGTAGGTTGTTTATTTTATATATAAAATTTGTTTGTGTGTAACTATATACTTTCTTTATTTATAAATATAATTTTCTGAAAATTTGATATAAAATATTTGAATATAAAATAGTTTTAAAAATCTAATTAGTTTTAAGAAATTCGAATTTATAAAATTGTTATTATAAAAATAGTTTTTTTGTAATGAAAATTATAATAATTTCCTTTCTTTTTTTAGAAAATAATGAAATTATTTTATAAAAATTAGATTAATAGAAAATCTATATTTTAATTATTTTTTAAGATCTTTTATTTAAGAAAATAATGATTGATTATTAAAATATTAATATTTTAAAAAGCTTGATTTAAATAGTTTTCGAAATAACCCATTCACTGATATAACCCGCTCACTAATAAACTACGTTATATTTAATTTCTAAAACATTATATTGATAAATAAATAAAATACACAATTACACACAAATGAATTTTGTATATAAAATGAAGTAATCCATTTGGTAATATGATTTACTCGTATATAAATCACATTACTATGATCTTTCGCACTTAGAAAAGAGTATTACAAATTCACGCACCCACTATTGGGCCTTAACCTTGACCTTGACCCTCAACAGCTCGCCGGCTTTGAATCGCGGCACAATACGAGCTTAAATGGTTCAGATTTCTACATCCGGAAAATCGCAACACCTCAAATCACGATAAATTTGCCCCAAATTCAAGACCTTCTGCTTATTTCGTATGCTTTGTGCTGGGCGTGAACTAGGTAAGCTACTTGCCAACACACGTGGAATGAATGGGACGAAAGAAGTCGCTCTATGCACAAAGCTTTCGACACCATAAAGATTTACTTGAGATGCTGAGTAGAAGATTCAATAGTATAATCTGCAAAAGAGAAGCTAAGATTAAGGTAAGGCGGTACCTCACTAAGGCTTTTGCGCTGCTCTTGATTGCTGCACTCTAGGTCTCATGGAATCTAATATATGGTTCTAGCACGCAAACAGCGGCACGGTGGGCACGCCTTTCCCCCCCCCCCCCAACTAGAAAGTCAACCTACTCCTTCACTGACAGGGCTGAAAAATCATCACGAGGGTCATCATTTTGTGAGACTAAATTTCACACTAAATGCGGGGTCATTCAGCTCTCACTACCAGCGCCTTCAATCACGTTCACGTCTTGGGTCATGAAAGAGCGATTTTTCACATGAGAGAAGATTTCAGAACTCATCGGCGTGCTCAATCATTTTCGACACATACTCTCAACTTTTTTGTCTGAAATCAGCAACGTGTCTTTAAGAATTCGAAGAATTGCGTCTGGACACAGCATGTTCCAGGAGTTTCAGGCGCGCGATGCCCCTAAGCAAATGATGACGGTTGCCATGGCCCTTTCATCTTCCCCATTTTTGGGACATTCTTGTTTAGTATTAGTCTTTGGATATAATTGATGTTGATCAATGGTTATCTACTGCCCTTCATTATATACATTCCCAAAGTGGAAAAAGAGTGCATGATTTCCACGCCAGTGCCATCAGATGACAAATTTCAACTCCGCTTTCTACCACCAGGTAATTATATTAGAGATGCGTTCTTCCTCGGGTTTTGTTTTCTTCACTAATATAGCCCTACCTAATCTCATCATTATCACAATCATGGAAGAACATTTAGAAGGAGTTCCTAACTTGCTACCTTATGAAATCGTTGCTCGTTTCCCTCTTGGTTATTTCCTTGAGAATATTGCCGTACGGTCAAATGGAACGCTCCTCGTCACGAATATGATTGTCGGCCAGATATTCTACGTTGATCCCAGACATGACGATCCCGAGTCTACTATTCAGTTGATATATGATTTCAATACTGCCGAACCACCTCCTGAGGATGATGAAGGAACTGGTATCTATGGCTCAAAGAATCATGCAGAAGCGATTATAGAGCATCCAAAAATTGCCGATTTGTTTTACGCATTCTCTGGTGTGCATGGAAAAGCTGATACCTGGGCTGTATACTCCTTGGACTTCCGTGGCTTCGATCCGTCTCGCGGAGCTGCTACAACCATGGTGGAAAAGCTCGCGAATATACCAGGAGCAGGATGGCTCAATGGTGCTACGATGATACCTGAGACGTCGACTCTATTGATGGCTGAATCTCAGCAATGTAAAATCTTTGCGTTCGATCTACAAACAAGAAAGGTTTCGATCTGGATTGAGGACGAAAGATTAGGCAAGGTCACAACTCGGCCACCATGGCCTGCACTCAACGGCCTGGAGTACTTTAGAGGCCAGATTTTCGGAACGGTTACCGATCGTGGGACTCTTGTGAAAATGCAAGTAGATAAAAGTGGCGAGTACAAGAGCGGTAGTCTGGAAGTTGTAGTCAATCAGTTGATCGGGGATGACTTTGCATTCGATTGTGAAGGGAGCGCTTATGTAGCTACAAATCCGGCACATACAATTTTGAAGTTTGTCCAAATTGCGACTGAGCCACAAAAAGGGGAAAGGCTCAAGATTTTAGGTGGACTAGATAAAAAAGAGACAGCGGGTCCAACTGCTTTAGCTTTCGGGAGAGGGAAAACCGATAGTGACTGCATCTATGTAGTGACATGCGGTGGAGTAGTGAATCCAATTGGTGATAATGGACCAGGGCAAGCATTAATTGCCAAAGTTCGTGTGGGAGTGAGAGGTGAGGCACGTTAGACTTCGAATGAGTGTTGGAAGTCTGTTACAGAACCCAGACAGACAGCACAAGAGATTCATATTGTAAACTATCAACTATACTATACGTCTTCAGGTCGTCCGTATGCGAACACGAGTACACTGGCAAATGCCACTACCGGGTTTGCTTCACGTCATTCCTAAATCAATGTTATCAGACCCTTCACAACTCGCCAAGACACAAGACTGGGGAACTAAAACTGCCTGCTACTCTTCTCCTTTGACCATAATTTTAGATCGAACGAAGAAAGCCAGCTTCAAGCTACACATGCAATCTTCTTGCATTTCCTCCGCTCTGCTTCCAAGAGAGATATTTCCAGCTTTTTCCGTCTTTCACTTGGGCCATTTCTCGGGCTGAATCTATTCCAAAGCACAGCATCCAGATAATCTTAATTTGTCAGCTCAAAAACCAGCAATTGTTTAACGTTGGAACGGCAAAGAATAAGGGGGAATTGTTTGAAATTGATGCATCTGCAGGATCTATTGAACTACTACACTTTATCTCATATGACTGGATCATTTTTTATCACCCACACACAAGAGATTATTGAGGTGAAAATGCTTTTAACACGATGTTATGAACGTTTAACGTTCGACGGCTGACCTCGGTACGTACCTGTTTACCCGACGTTCATCCTGGTGGAACTTCGCAAACAATGACTAAAAAACGCGATTCACTGCACTCGCGAGAGTAAAACCCGAACTCTACATTATACTCATTTCCGATGTGGTTGTAGTATTAAAAAAAACTATTGGAAGAAATTATTGACCATTTCTCTCTTTTATAGAATGTATTTGACAAACAGGCAGTTGGTTTCGGAGCCTTGGCGAATTTATCAGGCACGCGAGGCGCCTCACGCGCATTTTCATTATGTCATTACCTGAAAATATCTAGACGCGCGCGTTGTTTCGATCTTGAATGTCTCACAAATGATTCGATCCGGTGCTGCCTTTTGAATCCTTGGTGATGGTCATTCCTTCAAGCATATTCAACGTTAGGATTAAGTTTGGCATTGATATCCGCTATGCTTAGCATTGATGCCTGCTGATCATGGGGGTTTGTCGCCATAATTATCTGCATGGGTCCATATTAAGTCTTTGCTAGTGCCCCCCTATTCACTCAAATAAATTCACTTACCCCAGACGCCACTGTGCGGAGGAACCTACAAGCAATGGTTTAATATCAAAATGTTAGAACTCGGTATTTCGGGTTATTGAGGATCATGGACGAGATCAAGAAAGGGAAATGATATCATCTCAACGGAGGCCGTGTCCTCATATAAGAGCATAGGCCTGGGCCTAAAGGTACAGTTACTATCATTCCCCAACACTTCTCTCCAAGTGGACACCAAAACTCTACTTCTATCTATTTTTTTCCGTTGGCACCATGTTGTACCGCCCTTTCCTCTCCAAAAGGTCGCATTTAGCATCGTTATTTCTTTGCATCTTCGTCTTTACAGCCTCAGTTAACTCTGCTGCACCGAGAGACTTCAAATATCCCATTCAGAACCGGTTTTCCTCCAGACAGGACGCCAGTGCTGTTCCAAGCTGGCAAAAATATGTCAGAGCTCCTTCCTCCAATATCATCTCACCTCAAAGCATTGTCAATACCACTGGAGATGTCAAAAATCCTAATGCTCTCCTTCGACAAGGTGGCGGGGTTACCACATTAAATAGAGCTAATGGATCGAATGAGATTCCTTCTATTATCGTTGACTTTGGACAAAACACTGTGGGATACCTGAGCATCAACTTTGCTGGTGCTTCAGCAACTCCGCCCGGTATTCGACTTGCTTTTTCCGAAACTTTGACATATCTTTCCAACATTAGTGACTTTTCTCGATCAAATAGTGTTAGTATACTTCAGATTTTCCCAAAGTGTAGCTTATACTGACAGTAAGCCAGGGCGAAACAATCACTCCAGGATCTGATCAGGTACGATATTCACTCTGCTTCTCTATGACCATTACTTCTCTCTAACTAGAATATTCAGATTGCTGTTGGTAGCAAACCTTATACTTGGACCGAGGTGTACGGATGTCAATATGGTACACAAGTGTGTGCCGACGGCCTTCATGGTTTTCGATACGTCAAGATCTATCTCGATGCACTAGCTGCAGATGCACCATATACAGCTCCATATGGAAAAGTATCCATCGATCACTTGAGCTTGAAATTTTCAGGCGTTCTTGGTACCCCCAATACTTTCACTGGCTGGTTTGAAAGTTCTGATGAGGATTTCAATCAATGGTGGTATGATGGTGTATACACTAATGATATCGCAACCGACATTTTCCGACAAAATTCTAGCGACCCTCGAGGTGCCTTCAGTCCAACACTCGATGGTAAATTAGTTCTTTTGGATGGAGCAAAGCGAGATAGAGATCCATATGTTGGTGATGTTGCTGTTGCTGGAAAGACATTGTTCCTGTCGCATAATGCACCTGAAGCATCTCGTAATATTCTTGCTGATTTAGGTGATCACCAACGTGCTGATGGATGGATTCCTCCTGCATCAATGTAAGGGGTTATTTCAACTATTGTTCACGGGTGCATGCTTACTTTTTCAATAGTGCCAGCTATGATCTTCACCTACTGGATTATCCGTTGTGGTGGGTCGTCAGCAGTTATGATTTTTTGATGTACACCGGCGACAACGATTACATCACAAAATATTACCCTAACATCGTCAAAGTACTGGACGTATTCTACCCATCTGTCACAGACAACGGTACAAACCTCATCTGGAAAGGAGTCGGTATTTCAGGAAGTTATGGCGATTATGCATTTCTTCCTCGTTATGGTCCAGTCACATATTACAGCGCCCTTTATGTCCTTGCACTCGAGAACGCTGCTGTAATTGCCAAATCCCAAGGTCAACCTTCCGATGCTTCTCGCTGGCTCGCTCGCGCTAAAGCTGTATCCGATGCACTCAATTCCAATAATTTCGACAACTCTGTCGGAGCATTCTTCGACGGACAAGGACCTCCCTGTGTCGGCGGAGAATTTTGCAACACCCACGCTCAGGATGGAAACTCTATATCTATTCTCGCAGGAGTTACCAATTCCTCCCGCTCCAACTCTATTCTCAATTACCTCAATACCGCCAATAAGCGCTTTTACGGCAACTCATTCTATGACAACGACGTTTTGCAGGCAGACTTCTCACAACGTGTCTATGCATTTATATCTTTCTTCGAGATATCTGCTCGATTTAAGACCAACCTCGTAGCAAGTGCCTTTGATGAAATCAGAAGATTATATGGTTGGATGGCCAACAACGACCCCAAAGTTACCATGTGGGAAGGTATTGGAGCGGATGGAAGTCCATACGAACAAGGATTCACAAGTATGGCTCATGGCTGGAGCACGGGTATTGTGCCTGCAATGAGTAATTACGTTTTGGGTGTTATCCCTACTGGACCTGGATTTTCGACCTGGAGTATAAAACCATATCCGGGTGATCTTAAGTGGGCTAAGGGTCAAATTCCTACTCCGAAGGGTCCGATTAATGTGGATTGGAGTTTTACCACTAGTGGGTGGTTTGTAATGAGTGTAGCCGCTCCTGTTGGAACATCTGGATCAGTAAGTCTACCTGTTCAACCTGGTACGGCTGCGAAACGCGATACTGCACTCGAAATTGATGTTGATGGGGAGGTTGCATGGAGTAATGGACCTAAAGCTTTTGATGCGCAGTTGAATGGGGACGATGGATATGTTACTTTGAATTTGACGGGCGGTGCCGTTCACAATATCACAGTGAAGGCTTAGTGATTTGATTAGTGTTATCTCCTTTCTGTGTACTTATTGGGAACGAAAGTTTGTGCGCATTCATATCATGGTCTGGTTGGCTGGTTTAGGAGCAAGGATTTCAATCTTTACGGGGTGCATTATGGTGGGCTACGGGCATGGTAATCGGCATGGGCATTAATTCATCAATGGACATTCAGGTTATTATAACAAGAGCTTTTACACGACATCTGTTTACCGCAGTAGTAAGACCGCATGTGATATATTACGGGTCGGAGACTTTTCCGTGCTAACCAAGGTATTCGGAACATGGGCTCGGATGTTTTATAACGATCTTAAAGAGGAGCAGATCATATCCCTTTTCGGCGTATCCCCAGATTTTAACCAAAATTAAGCACCAGCACGGAGGAGCATTTTCTAAATTTGAGTTTATGAAGTACTAGGTAATTACGGATAAAGCGGGAATATACTTTATCGCCGAGGTTTACAAAGTAGTAATCCTTTTCATTCTATTTTCCAAGTACCAAGAACATACCCATTGGTTTTCTACGGAATACAAAATATTAATAGCTGTCTCGCAGCACAATCTTCGACCTTTTAAACATGTGCCAATCCAATACCCGTAAACGAACATTCCTCATCATAAACTCTCTTTTTATCCTTCCCATCCATTCCAACTCTGTACACCGCACCGCCCAAATCCGTCAAATAAACATGTTTGTTAATCGTATCAAGTTTCAATCCAATCGCTTCATGTAATTGTCTCGTCAAGATTTGATACTCGTTCTTCTCTTCGCTATCATCCTTTAGCGCTTTTAATGAGTTGTTACCAAGTTGCGCTGCGTTCAGACTATTTCCTCGGGGAGGATCTCCTCTATCCGTCCAATATAATGTTTGTGTATCTTCGTCTATCTCGAGATCAATGGGTTCAGGTAGTTCTTGAAACAATAACTCGATGTCTTTTCTAGTGGAAGAATTTTGACCCACTGGCATCTGAATATTGGCGCGGAAGATCCGACCTTTTCCTCCTTTTGAAAATCCCTTTTGCGTCCAGTAGAATTTTCCTTCTTTATTGTTTATAGAGATTCCTACACACCATTTGAGTTGATCCTTTGCATCGTCTGTATTTTGCCAATCGCCGGTTTGGATAATGGTTTCGTGTTGTGATCCATCGAAGTTACATCTCATAACTCGTAGAACCTCGCGGTCACAAAAATATAATTTAGAAGCGGCATGATCAATGATTAGTTGTTTAGGCGTGTGGACTGCTCCGGGTGGAATCACGGTTTGAATATCGCTTCCATCGAGTTTACATGATTGTACCGTGCCGTCGTTGGATGTTGGGATGCCCATGCATGTCCAATATATACGACCTGTTTTTAGGGAAATATCAAGACTATCTGGGAGATGCTGGCCGGAGACTAGAGTTCGAAGTTGACGGCCATCGGGGGAGCCAACTACGATTCGACCTGCATTTAGGGTATCGGTCAGAGAATTAAGTCCAATATCTAGCATATATCTAGGTCTGTTAACTCTAGTCTCGTGAATTATGAGAGGAACAACTTACAAAGATGGAGCATGCAAATTTTCATGATGATCTTTTTCTTCGCCCTTGACTTTCGTTGTCTGTCCAGGAGGATACAATCCACCCTTCCCACTTTTAGCACCCAACTTTCCTTCCTCCAGATACTTCTTCTTTAAGAAATCGACCGTATGTTCCGAGGGTAATCCCCTCTCCTTAACATAATGTTCCTCGATGAACGCGACCGTATCCAGCCCCACTCCATCCATCATAGCACAAGGGCCCATCCCCTTCCCACCCCCAAACATCTCTGCCCACACCCTATCCAGTTCCTCTGGGGTACTAACCCCCTCCGCAAGAATCATCAAACACTCTCTCTTGATACTCGCCCAAACACGATTAAACACAAACCCCGTGCTCTCTCTCTTAGCAACAATAGGATGCATACCCACCTCCTTCAACTTTTCTACATACCACGGAAAGACTTCTTCCGCCGTCTCTCCATCCGTCATGAGTTCCACAATCTTATTATCCGGCGGCATCATATAATGCGTATTAAAAATTCTCTTTCTCGTATCTCCCCCCACCTTCTCCAACATCTCCGAAGTCTTATAACTACTCGAATTACTAACCAATAGCGCATCCGACTCGCACAGTTTCTCCAACTCAGCAAACGTATCAATCTTCAACTGCAATTTTTCCGGCACCGCTTCAATAACATTCCACGCTCCTTTTACCGCTTCGGCTAAATCTTCATGGACGGTTACGATGCCCGGAGATGAACATTGGATGGCGGATGCATAGATGGATATATTGTTTTCGATGTAGTGAAGCGCTGCGTTACGCTGTTCGGGTGAAGGGTCGCGGATGCGTACGTCCCAACCTCCTGATGCCCATGTGCAGGCGATGCGACGGCCAAGGACACCACCGCCTAAGACGGTTATGGGACGGTTTTTGGTGGTGGGAAGTGTGAAGGTCATTGTTAGGTCTTGGGGTAGTCAAGTCAAAAATTATGTTGAAGGGTTTAATGCGGAGGAAAACTCAATTGGGTTGACTTTTGGGGGAAAATTATTGGTGAGATTAGGATAGTTTTAATGTCAATGCTTGTGTTAATGGGTGTATCAATATTCGTCTATCAAATATGCAAGCAAATCTTTATATATGAGAAGTCGCCTACAAATCGCATAAAATCCACAACTCAAACAACCTCACGTCCCTTCCGAATATTCCACCCATCCTCGGTATGATGTCAGAGCCGGCAATGGAAAGCTAAATGTGTCTATTACAATTCTATCAAACTACTTCCCGAGGCCTCGGTCAAGCTATCTGAAGCTAACGCATAACTAATGTGGGTCGTTCCGGCCGGATCTAAAGGCAACTAGTTCGAGGTCTGGCCAACTGAGTCTGTTACAATACATGCTAGTCATCTTATGCAGGATTTGTGAAATTCGTGATGCCGTTTTTTTGTGCATTTTTTGCGTCATACGTATGCTCTGGATAAAGCGGCAGATACTTTGTATTTGAACGTTGAAGGGCGGTCGAAGTTCGGATATACAGTGGAGGCGAACGGATGCTCAGTTTTCGGCAAAGGTCGGACGACTTAGCACGCTCCACGTACAATTTAGAACTTTAATTCCAGCGGTAAACAAAAATGGTAAACTCCAGCCTTATTTTGAAAATGATACAATTAAAGTGAAGCTAAAATGAGAAGACCTGGTCAGGCAATTTACTGACAGCTCTTGGTTTTTGCCAGCCCAGTTCTACCAAGCTGGTTTTCATCGAGTCAACCAAACCCGGTGGTCCACACAGTAACACCTTACTATCATCACTTGGTTCAGGGAAAAATTCCTTGACCATCTTCTTGGTCACATATCCTTTGGCCAACTTCCATTCCTTAGACGGCTTGGATAACACATAATGTACTTTGAAATTCTCACGGTATTCCTTTGCGAAATCATCCAACTGTTCGCGGAGCAAAATATCCTCTTCACTATTGTTACCATAAAGAAGAGTAACAGATGTTTCGTCCGTTGGGTCTTCACATATTGCTCGAATCAACTTGTTCAATGTCAGCCTAAGTTATGTATAGAAGAGTAGACGTTGTTACCTGATACATCGGTGTGATTCCTGTTCCTCCTGCAATCATTCCCATATTTTTCACCATTCCCTTTCGATATCTCATCGCACCCTTTGGTCCACGTACTTCAATTTCGTCTCCAACTTTGAGATGCTGGAGATATCTTCCAGTAAGAAGCCCATCCGGATACATCTTTATCACCAATCGAAGTTCCCCAGGATCGGAGTTATTAGAAACGGGTGTGTATGATCTACTGACGGGCTTCCCGTCGATTTCCGTTCGAATGCTAATATGCTGTCCAATAGGAAGGCCGATTATCATATCATCTTTCGGAAGTTTGAATATCAAACGGTGGGTGTTTGAAGATAATTTCTCCTTTTTGACCAAAGATAACTTTTGATAATTATCCGGTTGTAGATATCCTTTGACCTTTGTGATTGGCTTGGCAATCTGGACAGATGGTTTGTAATGTGATGGGTATGAATAAGGATTTTTGAAAGATCCCGATAGTGCTTTCTCGAGATAAAGTCCCGCTCCTGCCGCAATAGATAGGGTAGCAATACTCGAAATAAGCACACCTTTCCAGAACCCTCCATGTTGTGCATGAAGCCACCCGATCTTTGGTGATCTCGAATAAATTTCATAACCTAGAAAAATCGCAGATCCAATTGAGAAAACCTTCAGTCCAGCCCTACCAGCAGTCATGAGCGGAGCTTCACTGTTAAAGTCTTGATCTTCTGATTTGGCTTTCAAATCCGGTTTTGGCATCGGCAATCCTCTGTCTTCATCTTCCTCATCAGGTGCCCCTTCCAATCTTCCTATCAGAAATGATTCCATGGTTTCTCGTGCATCTGCTGAATGTCCAACATCTTCAAAAGCAACTGTAGAGTTCTTCCCTCCAACTTCGAGCAATGAATCTGCCCCACCAGGGTGATCTTCAAGGTATTTTGTTACATCGTAAACTTCAGAAATGTCAGCTTTTGGTCGATAATGCGTGAAGGTAAAACGAACCGTTATGATGAATTATGAGCCACAGATCCGACTTTTTGTTATGTTTCTGAACCTCATTGAGAGAAAATTGCTTGCTTTCACTCATGATGGTAATAATAATATGTTCTGAGTAGCTAGGCTAGAGCAAGTGCGATTGCGGGATCTCTTCAAAACACAACGAACAAGATTTTCGATGCACGGAGATGGAGGGAGGAAGGAAGGAACTTCAAGGAAGAACTAAATCTCTGAAAGACCGAGGATGCAGCTTTGACTTATCTCCGTCGACGCCACTGGTTCTTGATCCCGAGGTCACTTCAACTTATGCATATGTCGTATATGTGGAGATGACCTCAATGTACAGCGTCGCTTTCATCAATCAATCCGAGTTTCAAGATTTGGTGAGAAACGTACACCATCTCTTAGTATACAATCAAAGACATTTAAGCCAAGGCAAGATGGTTCCATGTCAACGATCAGAAAAGTCCCAGGAGCTTTCCAAACTAGTATGGAAGGACCGTCCACGGAGACCCACCAACTGACTAGCCGTCTATCTGCCGCTCTCCATTCTGGAGACTAACCTCTTTAAATAAGGCCGTATGGGCTTGATCCAATTATTCCAAGGCTATTTGAGTTTCTCGATTGATTTTTCACCACATTTGGAACCCTGTAATAATTGATGAAGAAATGTACCGAGGAACCGCGGTAAACATTTACCGGTAGTACTCAAAAGATTTCATTTAAACAAATTATGACTTCATTGACTGGAACCAAAATATGCATCTGAAACAAATTCTGCCGGTAAGTCCGCCTGGTATAATTTTAGAATAGATAGTTTATAACTTGACATTTATGTTCTGGAATCTTTAGCAAGTTGGTATACCATAAAGGGGGCAATTGAATCATTGAGTTCTCATATTTCTTCTCTAGCTTGATACTCGCCTTCCCCTCCATTGACCTCATTTTCTCTTGTTTGTCTCTTTGCATACGAATATATATATAAAACCATGGTGGAGAAGTCATTTTTCTTACTGGGACAGCCAGCGAGGACATCTCAAGCACTTGAAGTCGATCTTCAAAATACATTTGAGTTCCTACAATACACTGTCGCTCAAAAGTTTTCCATTGCGGAACCATCAGGTAGGTCTACAATATATGATTAGCCATGCAAGATTTAACCTACAATCAGGAATCTCGTTTCAAACCGATAAAGATGGAATTCTTGATGATCTTGATAACTTCGTAGATGTATCTTCTCCAATCGGTATTCTAATCGATGGAAACCAAGTCAGAGATGTTCCTGGACCAACAGGCCTCCCTATCGCTGGAAGCTATTACGAAGTGTATCCCGACCATCTTGGAAATCACCAACGTTTGTTCGAACAGTATGGACCAGTGTTCAAAACGACAGACATGGGTCGTACGACATATTATACCAACGATCCAAAGGTAGCCGATGTGTGTTTTGGAGAAGGAGGTTACTGGTCGAAAGTGATAAATTCCGATCATCCTCTTTATGGTATAAAAGATCCTATGGCAGGTGTTTTCCTATCCGATACTGATACCGAAGCATGGAAAGAAGCACATAAGTTCTTGGCACCGGCGCTCAGCCCAAAAGCCGTCAGACATTATACACCTCAAATGCAAGACACAGCGGAACAGGCTTTTAAAGTCTTTGATGAGCTAGACAAGAAAGATGAAGCTTGGAACGTATATCAGTATATGTTCAAAATGGGTTCTACTGCGATTGGAAAACTAGCTTTGGGAATGGATATGCATCATTTTGACTCGATCGATGCACCTCTTCATGACCTCGTAAGGACTGTTGGTAGAAACTTGGAGCTCAACAAGAAAGTTTCGACAATGGGAGATTGGTACTCTCATATGCCATGGGGAGCACCAAAGCAATTGAAGGACAATAAAGCGCACGTGAAGGAATTAATAGAAGAAGCTATTAGAAATGTCAAAGGTGGTGGAACGGAGGATTTACCCATTCAAGATGCAGCTTTGAAGGCAACCTGTATTGTTGACTACTTGGTGAGAGCGACTGATGAAAAAGGCCACAAGCTTGCAGAAAAATACCGCAACAATGCGGCATTAGTGACTGTTGGAGCTGGATTCATTACTACGGCTTCACTTCTCAGTTGGCTCCTGTTTAGCATTGCTTCATACCCAGGTAACCAGGAACGCTTGCTCCAGGAATTGGTTGACCACGATATCAAGAATGATACAGAGTGGACACCCGACCTTGCAAATTCACTGGAATTCCTCGGGATCCTCATCAAAGAAACACAACGTCTCCACAATCCATCTTATCAACCAGGTCGTACCGCTCTCGCAGATGTAATCATTCCTGGTGGTTATCGTATTCCAAAAGGCTCCATAATGATTATTGCCATTCATCACATTCACAACAACCCCAAGGTTTGGGACTCGCCAGCAGATTTCAATCCTGATCGTTGGAACACGGAAAAGGTTAAAAGTCGACACAAGGCTTCCTATGTGCCCTTTGCTGCTGGTCCTCGAATGTGCATTGGTTTCAATTTCGCATTGCAAGAAGTCAGGGTCATTCTTTCAATGTTGGTGTATAGATATGAGTTTGAAAAGATGGGCAATGAACCAGTGGAATATGATCCGGAATTTCAATTGGTCCGCCCGAATAACTTCTATGTGAAGGCCAGAAGAAGAACGAGATGGCCAGAGAAGTCGAAGAAACAAACGAGTGCTGAATAGGTTTGAGGTGTATGTCAATATATGGTGTTTTTAAGACTTAGACATAATAACAGTTATAATTCCAAGATAGTAAGATATCCAAGTTATGAAAAACACTTTGGAAGCCACAGCCACGTGACTTGGCATGTGATAAAAAGATGGGAACAGACGGTGATGGCTTTTTCGTTGCCTTCGATATAATATCAACGGCCAGGTACTCTACCTAAAGTATCATAAGTTTGTACAAATGTCGATGCCGCGTTTTGATGTGATTACAGCATAATGAAGTTCAGCACGATCTATATGAGGAAACCAGAAAATTTTATTTGATGAATTGAGCAAAATCATGTGACTTGGACTTTCACCGCTTTCCTCCCTTTCCGTTTTTCTTCTTCGTCTTTTGCCGAACTCAGCTTGATGCAGCACTTCATGATCAATCATACCATCAATCCTTTCCTTATGGAATCGATATTTCATTATGCTATCATGATACTTTGGAGCCCAATTCATCAGTATCTCAGCACCTCATTCACCGTAAATATTGTTGTCGCACATCACAGCCCAATGAACCTTTGAGGTTTCAACTTCAAGGAATGTATTCAAAGAATGAGTAACTCTTTGAGTTTCACGACCGCAAACAACGTATTTCCTTATTCAAACGTCCATGAATAGTCTTTAGTCACTCAAGATCATCGTATGCATTGCTCTTTGGCTATTATCAAAGAGCATCAACAATGCAATTTCACGACTATGAGACCAGAGGTCTAGGACAAGTGTTCTGTCTAAGCTAAAGATTTTGTCCTTGATATTTCTTTTCCGTCACTTGAAACAACAAAGAAATGATTAGAAGCTTCAGTTGCTAGAGCTCTGTCTTCTCTGAAATTCGGAGTACCTTCTTCCCCTTGATTTTGTTCTTCTATCTATTCAGATAGTATCTCCATCATTATTCCCTACCTTTTACACTATAAACATCTTCGATTATGGCAGGAATCGCGCCCATACAAACCCTACGAGGTATAATCTCAATTATAAGAGAATATTTCTTGCCTCGTCCCGTGGAACCAGTCGAGATACCTGTTGCTCCTCGAAATGCTAGACCTCTTTCGGAGCAGGAAGTTGCTCAATTACGACGCGAACAAGCTAAAGCTATTGATAAATATTTTGACGAAGAATTAGACAAGAAAAACTACGACGAGATTAATAACAAGAGTCGAAGTTTACAATGGATGCCAGACATTCGCCCTACGGATCGTTTGTGGCGGCAAACTCGTGCATATTATGCCGAACTTATCAAATCCGAGAGAATATCCGATGTTCTTGATGACAACTATGAAGAGATGCAAAAGATTTTGATCAATCCTCAGGCGTGGAGTAAAGAAGTGCAAGCAGTTCGAGATGAACAAAGTAAAGAATACTATGAGAACATTGGCCCTGGCGGGCGTTTCGACGGCCAGCTCGACAATCTTGCAACAAAAATGACAATGGTCCACTTTGGTCTTCCTGTGGCACCAATGACATTGAACAATATCATGGTCCTCACTCCGGATTGGAAAGACGATGAAGACGATGAAGAAGACCCCGCACCTTCTCCCCCGCGAACACAGAGAATTATCTATTCCGAGAAGCCTCTAGAATTTCTGGATTCGTATATCGAGAGATCTTTTGGATACCAAATCATCCGACGTTCGTTACCAAAACTTCCTTGTGATGCATCTGCTAATATCAATAGGTCCTCGAGTAAGCATGCGAGGTGGCGCTGGGTCTATTGAGGAATTAGACCTAGCAGATAGTACTGATGGCGAATGGGGCTCAACCGTCAATATGCGTGGCGGTGCGGATCGTCGTGAGCGCACCCCTCTGCTACGAGGGCTTTATCTTAACCTGCTGGGCCCAAGTCCTAAGCACAGGGCTCGCCGTACACATCTGGTCCCAAGAGAATTCCTCATTTCAGCTCATAGGCTTGTTGGGCACCCGAAGGATATGGACTTGCACTTCAATGTTGATATCTATCGCCAGGTAGATCCACGTAAGATTGACAAGCCACTACAAATCTCGTTTTCAATAGCTTCACAAGAAGATTTTGAAAAGAAGTGGCCAAGTATCGAGGAAGTCATCGGCAAAGTTGATCACGACCAACTCAGTATCGTAATTGAAGACCGCTTTCCTGGTGAAGATGTTCCTATGTTCTATGAGGATTTACGACGTTTGGCAAAAGAATTCCCCGATGATGATAAAAAAACATCTCAGCATTCCATCTATTCGTATTTTGGGAAGAAACTTACCAGACCAACATACCTTGCCTTCAAAGACACCGTCACGAAACTCTTGAATATAGATCCGAGATCAGATTGGTCTTTCTTAGTTGATATTCATACTGAGGATCGCATTTTACCGCCCTTACATTTTACCCGAACACAATATAGGAACGATTTCCTCTCCCTCAGGGATAAATTTCTTATCGGTGCGAGTAATAAAACAAGCGTCTTCGTACGCAATATGAGTGGTTACGCACCATCACAACACCAAGTCGTCGAACCGCCTCAGGATAGTCAAATAGTCAGGTTACACAGTCAACAAGAAAATGCGGAAAGTTACTGGAAAATACCCTCGGTCCTCAACCCCGCGATACCATACTGTCTAAACCACTTACAGCCCTCATTTGTCAGAGCTTTCCTTGCCATTTACGGTCAGGATCGTCCTTCACGCAATCCACGACTTTCCACCACACAGGAAGGGGTCCGCGAACAGGCTCTTAATTTTGGCGGTATGGAAGTAACCCCTCAAACTTGGGAGTGGGTTGTTGAACGAGTCAAGCAACAGAAAAATCTTCCAAAACCTGCTGCAGAACCTGATGATGAATCTGATGCTGAAAAAGATGTTGCTTTGTCATGTCAACTCACTATAACGATTCCACCTCATACCGACATGAGAAAAAAGCCCGAGGATACAATTTATCTCCATCTCATTGGCGATGATTACCAGAGGGATATTGCATTCGAACGCAATGAGTATCAGCATATTTATAGTCACATTGTAGAACGACTGAGAAAGGTCCATCGTCATAGCCAGAATTCAAGATTCCCGAACGGCAGTCTTGTCGCAATGTGGTTCAGTGCTATAGAACGTGAAGAGAACCTGCCACCTGTCATTATGGAAATTGATGAGGACTTACCAGACGCTGAGAAGGGCAATATGATTAGAACTGCTTTCCTCGGTCAAGTGCAAAATTTCTCGAATATCTGGTTCCGTCCGGAGTATCAAGTGTTCACACTTCATGATAATATCGAAGGTGAACGTATCTGGCAGTGGGATACAACAGACGAACAACACAATACCTCCCTTGAGAACTTCAGGGCAAACATGAGAGAAATGTATGATGATTGGGATCATGCTCTTGACTCGAATTTTGTTTTACTCCAAACAAAGACAAACCGTTCATTTGCAGTAGATCGAAGAACCACAGAGAGTTACTGGAGAAAATACATCTTTGATTGGCTCACAGAAACCGACATATTTATTGAACGAAGAGAAACTAGACCTTTTAGTGAGTTTCGCCATGCTTCAGCCGATATGACTAACTAACACTCCACAGTGCAACCGGATACAATTCCTTGGGGCTATAGACATACCCGTCAAATTCCGCCCCCTGCTCCGGTGGAACTTAATCCAGTTCCTGTGGCGCCTGTTGCCGAAGCATCACAAAAGCCTCGTATCAACAAGACACGACTCATTGCACCCGTTGCCGAAAAGGCCATCACTCCAAAATGGGAGACTTGGATGACAGATCAACATCGTAAGGATGCATTACAGCGTCGCTCCTATATTCAAGACCAATCGGTCATTGAGCCAGGCCTGGATCCTTCAGCACCAACATATGGGCCTAGTAAAGAATTGACATTAGGAGTTTCTCTCTCAACTCCTGCAGTTTATACACAACGACTGACCCCTACTGATATCTTAAACCTGGTAGAAGAAAATCAGAAGTTAAGAAATGGTTTGTTAGAGCGATCTCACAACTGTCTCATCTGCTCCGTGACCATGGCGGGCTATGAGCATGCTGAAATACAACGCCATTATGGACAGCATCTAGTTCAACTCCAAAAAGAGGGACAATGTCCTCTCTGTGAGCGAGAATCGTGGTCAATCATGACCATGGAGCAAAAGAAAGAGCATCTTGAAACTCATCAAGTAGAAACAGACACAGAAATGATTCGAAATTTCTGGAACGGCATTGAATGTCCTGTATGCGATGGCAAATTGAGTGGTTTTACAGCCGAACAAGTTCTTCGCCACACGGCAGACCACATACCAGGAATTGTCGAATTCTGTGACAAGTGCGGACTTCGCACCGCCATCTGCAATCATGCTGAACTAGTTCATCACAGATATGTATGCCTTGATCAACCAGATCGTGGACCACTCGATCTAGAACCTTCATTCTGCGGCGATTGTGGTCAAAATCGTACCGCGGAGGATGAAGAAGAACGGGGTCAGCACGTTATAAATTGTACCGCTAAGTATCGTCGTGTTCAGGATAAGAAGTTCTGTACCAAATGTGGCATTGATAAGAGTGCATGGAGCAACGATGAAATCACTACGCATGATGAGCACTGCACATCTCCACAAGGTTTGCCAAAAGCTTTTTGCTTGAGATGTGGCACAAGGTTGCTTGGTGCCACTGAAGCTCAATTGGATGATCATAGAGTATATTGTTCTATTAGAACAAAAGAACCAGAGAACTTGAGACAACGAGTAGAAGGTATGTTCACTATATTTACTTATTTCTTCTATGCACATAATTCCTTCCTAAATCTTCCTTCCTCCATTCCTTTGTTTCCATAGGGTATCAAGCTGATATCCCTTTCTTCCTCTCAGATCTTGAAACCCTTATTAAGCGTATCTGGATTGCACCTCGTCCCCTTACGGGTCCTTTAACCATAACTGATTCACCCCTCCCCATTCAGAGCTTCAGGCACGAACTGCAACACTCAATCGCATTGCGGCCAAGAACGCAGCCACAC